AAAAGGAAGAGGGGAGAATCCAGGCCGCCAACCATCACGCATCACTACTCCCAGAAAATGCTGGCCCAAGGTGCCTACACCTTCCAGGCGGGAACCTACGACAAAGTTCCTCCCGCCTGCCCAGGCCCTGCTACTATCGCAGAGACCTCCTTCACGCGGAACTCTACGAGGACATAACTCTCCACTAGTCCAAAGCTCCAGAGAGACTTGCCTCCTCTCGGTCTCTCCAATTTCTTTCCCACCCCGCTACGCTCCCACCTGTTTTGCCGTTGCTATTTGGGTTGGCCGAATGTCGCACAATCACGCGGGACTACCATCCCGCGGGACTGCCTCATTCGTGCCTGGGTTCCCGCTCGCGATTCTAGCAATCACGAGCGGCACCCCTGGGTCGCGGAGACGGTCGGCTCAGTAAGGCCGAGTCTCTCCACCACCTACACTACTCAACTAGTCGTGCTGTGCTGCTCTAGGCGGCGCCGCTTGTCGGCGCTCGTTGTCGAGCAGCCCACTGCAAAAGAGGACAACGATCCTGATCCCTATCTGTCCACGCTGCCTGGCGTGGAAACCTGAACACCTCATGGGTTCTTCGACGAATGACTCACTCACAGTTGCCAAACTGTAACATCTCACAAAACACAAAATCGATTCCCACACTTCGCTCCTATAACCAAGTACATCTCTAAATCTCTCAGGTCATCACCTGCGTTCCTGAAATGGATACCCACATACATGTCGCTATGTCTGCCTCCTTCGCAAGATCGCTCTAAGGCAATAGCACCCCCGAAGACCGCTCACAGATAGCAACCTTGAATGAACACACATGCAAGACCGGTCCACTCTCTCTTTCAGCCATTGAAAAGTGATCGCAAGAAGGTTGTCTCCTTCTCTTGCTCACAATTCTTCCTTCACCGAGCTGCAAGCAAGAACTAATAGATTAACCCACCCTCCTTCCTGGGTTGGCCGAATGTCGCACAATCACGCGGGACTCACATCCCGCGGGACTGCCTCCATTCGTGCCTTGGTTCCCGCTCGCGATTCTAGCAATCACGAGCGGCACCCCTGGGTCGCGGAGACGGTCGGCTCAGTAAATGGCCGAGTCTCTCCACCACCCTACACTACTCAACTAGTCGTGCTGTGCTGCTCTAGGCGAGCGCCGCTTGTCGGCGCTCGGTCATTTTTTGTTGTTACTAACCACAAGCTAAGATAGATCAAAGGTTGTCTGGTAGGCAGGCGAATTATGGGCAGGATTGTGTCAGGCGATCTGGAGAATCTCAGGAGCCCTATGAAAGCAAACAATCATGCAACTGCTGACAAGCTCTCCCCGGTTGTACGGGATTCCGAAAGTGTTGGGATATCATTGTCCAAACATTTTAACAAGAGATGGGCGTTTTGTGCAATGTTCGAGATACGAGGCCCACACCTTTTCCTACTCCGTGCTTCAGTGTTCACCCTGTTACTATATGGGCATTGAAATTGAAACGGTTCCAGTCTCTAGCTATCGTTAGCTACAGTAAACCAATCAATGTACTGAAAACCAAACATACCGAGCCACGTGCCCTGATAGTTGCTCGATTGATGCCAGTGGATTGGACCCCCCTGCTCATGGCATGTGCGCATTGCATAGAACATTCAAGAGCATATTGTTCAGTTCCTCATTGACCCATGGCTGCAAGTGGACGGGATCCCAAAAGATGGTATCGCGTTCATCGTTAACATGACCATCCATTTGTCGCGGCGGGAGCTTGTTTTGCCAGTAAATGGTGTTGAAATCTGCCGTGAGATGTGCAAAGTCCAGAAATCCGCAGCCATTCGACCATGTTGCATCTTGTACATGAGTTCTCTCGGGTTCCAAGACCCAATCATGCCCACCGGTCGATGTCTTGAAAAAGCATCGTCCGTTTTCACCTTGACTGAACGAATGTAAATTGGGCATGATCTTTTCGGCCCGTTCCTTTTCCAATGCTCCCCAGTACCCTCGATTATAAATGGCGATATCGACGGGCGGAAGCTCCCGTCGCAATACCCCGTTGGGGCCAATGGCTTCAATAAAGTCTTGTTCAAAATCAAACTCGTTCCTGTTGGCTCGTATGAGTCGTTCCCGGGCCATGGCACTGGTGAATTGGCACATTCCTTTAAAGGCGCACCCCGTGTAATGAAAGCCGTGAATTGGTGTGGGATTATTGGCCCATCCCAGTTCTTGCTGGTAGCTGAGAATGGGTCTTGTTTTGTTGGCAGTGCTGTAAATGGCGGGAGCCACGTAAATATAGTTTTCGGCAATTTTTTCAAAAGGAAAGTCTTTAATCCTGACGCCTGCGGCCTCCATGTATCCATCAAACACAAAGGTCCCCAGAGCTCGCATAAAATGCATCCATTCATCCGCTCCCTCTGGAGTGACCGTCTGCCAATCTTGTTCCTTGTTAACATTGGCATCACCCGGTGGCGAGCAAGTACCAACACCCCGTTCATCCTGGTGTTTGCAACGCTCTCCGGGGAATGGCAATCCCCATCGCGGTGGATACTTTCCCTTGTGGATCAAATGCACTAGACTGACAAATTGATACCGTGTCAGCGAATCTCCAATGAAATTCAAATGATGATTGGCTAAACAATGCCGTGCTTCGTCGGCCGTGTAGCGATGGAGCGTACACATGGAATGTTGCAATTCACGGGATCCATCGACTCGAGGGATCCATGCCACGGGCAAACTCCGTCGTGTCAAAAAGGCTCCATCTCGGTAGGGCGAGTTGGGACCCTTCATGAGCGACCGACACGAGGGCTTGTCGTCTTTTGTTGGCGGTAGTTGTGATGTCACTGTGGTGGTGGCTCGAATTTCTTGGGTGATTTGATTGACGGTAGCCGGCATTCCAGGAGCTGCCAATTGCTGCTGTACAGTGGCCGGGTCGCTGCCGCCGAGAACAGGGACCATAATGCCCTTTAACTCGAGGGTATGAGACAACACAAACACCAGCAAAACGCAACACAGCAGGATGCGGTCTACATTGCACATGGGTCGACTCAGAGCCTCCTGGCTTTCCCGTGGTGCCATTCTGGAGTTCCTCGTCATCATCATGGTCGACTGCTCACACTCTATACTCTTGCAGCTACATGTACCTTGCTTGGGTTGACTTGGACAACTTTGAGGACTTTTGGTGAGGGGTCGGCAATTGTCGTTTGTGGTTCTGTTTTGCCGAGGTGTTTAATCGCGCTTCTGAAAAATGACTAATCTAAGCTCTTTCTTCATTCGTGCGAAAAAATGAGGAGACCCGATGCCACTCACAAATTGAAGCGAAACGGTCCCTCCACGATGACAAGCTGGACCCTTGGGCGTCGTGTGTCGTTCTCCCTCATTCCCTCATTCATCCTTTATCTGGTCTCATTATTTCTCGTCGCAGTCTTTTGCAACGCTTTCTTTCAATCCACTCTGTTGCTACCGTACCGTATTACCATGACACCCAACAACAACAACATGCCCGGTGCTACCGTTGCCATTCTGGAGGACTCGCCATTGAAGCATCTGGTACCGATGAAACCACCAGCCGAAAGACTCAAGCTTCCCGAAGGATTCCTTCCCAAAGCGGCACCAAAGAAGAAAAAGAAGAACCAAGGTATCCTCCAGCGCATGACACGACGCTTCCAACAACCCAAACAGAAGAAGGATCCATGGCAAGCCTGGTACGACGAGTCCCCCTACATGTTTCAAGACCAACTCAAGGAGATTCATCTTCCACAGCATGACTTGGTGGAAGACAAGGCATGTGCCAAGAAGATATTCGAAGAAGACTCCTTTGTCGAGTCTACGCGAGTCGGCAGCTACAATCTGCTCCAGCGACTCGGAAGTGGGGCGTTTGGTCACGTCTTTGTAGGACAGTCGACGGTAACCTCCTCTCAGCCCGTCGCCATTAAAGTCTTGAGCAAACGTGCCATTCGAAAACAAGCTGAAGGACGCGAGGTGGTGAAAACGCTCCGACCCATCAACAATGAGATTGGGATTCTTCGAGAGCATAGTCATCATCCCAATGTCATTGGCTTTCACGAGGCACTTCACGGTCGGCATAACATTTATCTCGTCATGGAACAGGCCACTTCGGACCTAGCCTCGTGCATGCATACTCTGGGGCCGATTCAGCCCGACTTTTATCAACAAGTCATGAAGGGTATCTTGACCGGGCTCGAGTATCTGCACCGACATGGAGTGTATCATTTGGATGTCAAGCCGCACAACGTGTTGATAGTATCACGGTATTCCGGTGAGCGAGTGGATGCCAGCTCCGTTCGCTTGTGCGACTTTGGGTTGTCCAAGACCATTGCGAGTCATTTGCCAGAGTGGAAGGTGGGCGACACGCCCATGCATGTCAAGATTGCGCCGGGAAGCTACATGGGGACTCATAGATTCATGTGCCCGGAATTGCGACTACGAAAGGGAGCAAATGCACGACAAGCCGACATGTGGTCCGTGGGATGCACCTTGCTGAATATCATGGATTGCTTGCCCCGAGAGTTTGGAGTTCGAGACCCAGCTCAATATGAGGTCAACGTAAAAGAGTTCCTCGAGTCCCAAAGCATTTCCATCAGCGGTGGAGACGCAGAACTTGTCCACGACCTTCTATTCCAGCATTTATTGCTTTGGAATGCCCAGGACAGAGACACATCGGAAGAGGCACTGTCTCACCCATGGTTTCAATATGAATACGAGAACGAATCTCAGGAATCATATTTTGAAAGCTTCCAGCCAGAGCATGGAATAGAGCTATAGTACTGTAGTTACAAAGAACTACCACTTAAAAAAAAATCTTTAATAATGCATTCGCAAAAGACAATAATCTCCACTACCGTATATCCAGCGATGCGTTTTGAACTGGTGAGGGGTCACGCCCCCTTCGTTTCTCCAATACCAGTACCGTCAACACAAACATACATATCGTCGTGAGCTGTTTTGGTTGTTCGAATGCCAACGGGAACCCAATGATCACACCACCGCCCATCGAGCAGATTGTCTAGCTACCGGTACGTGTAGGCAGCCGTCAATGTCGAGCGAGGAGCAACGTAGCAACTCACGACCACTTGCTATTAAAAAAAAAAATAAGCTCGGTGCTCGGTTGTTTGGTCGAATAAGACAGATTTAAAAGTCTGAGATTATTGGTAATGCTTTCAAAGAGGTCAAGAGCCAGTCACATCCATTCGTGCGGGACTTGTGCCAAACGAACAGCGCCACCTGTTCGCCTCATTCGTTCGCCTTGGAAGAGGAGGAGAAGAGGAAAGAACCACCACCAGCAAAAGAAAGAAGAGCCGAGGTTTCGTGTGTATAGACTTGACAACCATGAACGGCGCCGCAGCCTCGTTGTTGCTGTTGTGGTCGCTGCAGGGCACAGCAGCCTTTACACAGCAGCATCGTCCGATTTCATCAACGAGGCTGCAGCATCACAGCATCAAGGATGACGCGGACGATAGTGTAGGTTACGAATCGACCGAACTCTTTGGGGGTGATTTTTGGAAGGGATTGCCGGGTGACAAGAAGAAGGCACCGGAAGGTCCCTTTGGTGCGTTTCTCCAGAATTTGCACAATCGAGATGACGGCAAAAAGCCCACTGTCACGGCTAGTCCTGCTACTCCGTCTGCTGGTTCACCACTCGATCAAGTGGGAGAGTTTTTCCAGAATTTGCAGCAGCCACCGCCGTCCGAACCGGTCACGCCAATTCCTTCCTCTCCTTTGGAACAATTGGGTGATTTTCTCAAGAATAGTTTTCAACTGCCGCAGTATGATCACCCAAAGGCATCCACAGCAGTCGAAGAAAATTCAAAAGACAAAAAGGAGGAGGAGGAGGTCCTTGTGATTCGTGGTGGTACGGTCCATGCGACCAACAAAAAGGATGCAGCTTTGCCAAAGGATGTGGATGCCTTGTTGAACAAGGTTGACATTAGTGCCGTCTTGGGACCTTCGGTACTGGACACGAGCTTTTTGCAGCAAGCCAACAAGCGCAAACAGCAACTAGAAGAAGAAGAAAAGGAACAACGAGACGAAGAAGCAAAAAAGAATGCGCTCGGAGGATTTGGTCGATTTTGGGGAGTTCACAAGGACGAAGAAGAAAGCACGAACAGTGATGTCGGTCGAGTGGGGCAAGACATTTTTCAGCACAAGGGAAACCACAAGCGTCGTTCCAGGTCGTCTCGTCGCATGGCCTACAGCATGAGCAGCGACGACCGCAATGGCAACAACGACGATGATGACGAGAAGAGCAACGGTCCCGTCACGGCCACCATTACCATGCCGGAAGAACCCACAGGACGCGGAATTATCAAGGGGGCGGGCAAGCAGCTCAATGGCAGTGCCATTGATGGATTTCGGGAAATTGCCGAAGAAAAGGCAAAAAAGGCGAATCGATACAATATCGATGACATGGAAGAGACGCCGTTTTACACGGCGTACGGTCGCATTCCACGACCCGTCGAGACACCCAAGCGCACTGCCAGGAGTAGGAAGAGTCCCTCACCGTCGCCGTATGGAGATGTCCGCAATGGGTGGTTCTGGCCCAAGAAGGCCGAGCCCAAGGCACACACAGTGGACGATAAGCCACCCGAGCTCTCCAAGACAACAACTCCAGAAGACGATGGCGCCCCCAAAACGAGCACCACCATGACTACGACGACCACTACTACCACCGCCGCGTCCTCCGAGGATGACAACACCAAGAACCAGCAATTGTTAGACAAGGACTATCAACGTCCTTGGTCAATGCCGGCTCCATTCACCTCTGGAGCTACGATTGATGTTAAAGCCACACCGGTGGAAGAGGAAGTCACCACGAATGGAATTGCGAACAACGGGAAGGAATCACCTGCGTCTTTGGAGCTGCTGAACGCTGCTGTCACGACGTATACTGCTCCAGCAACCAATGGAAGAGTGGCAGCCTCCCCTCCACCAGCCAGAATCAACTTGAACGAATTGAATGATGTCCAGCGCCTTCGGGAGAAACGAAATCAACTCAATGGAAGCAGCAAAGCGAGGGCGGCGACCCCTGTATCGCAGTTCCAATCGTTTGGTCCTCCACCAAACTATCCTCGTAACTTGATTCCGCAAAAGCCCCCAGCTGCGACGACCGCCCCAACTGCAACCAACAGCTCTCCCACCACAACTACAAACAACGTCAACAGCGAATCCTTTCTGGACGAAATCAAGCGTGGCAAGGCAATGCTCAAGGCAGACTACAACCTGTTGCATCCGAAAACCGCGCAACCAAAGGATTTTAATCCACAGCATTATCAACGCGCCAACGTGCAGCGTCGAGAAAGGGAGAGCCAGTTACAGCGATCGGCGGCGTCTCCCTCGCAACCTCCAGCGACTTCATTTATGGATGCCTTTAAGCATATACCCTTGCCCACCCCCAGCAAGAAGGAGGAAGCAAGCGTCTTGTCGCCAGCCGCCCCCGCGGTAGAAACCGTCAATGACAGAGCTGAAAGGACCATTGACCACAGTGCATCGGTTCTTCGTGCCTTGTCGCTTCGATCGTCCAATCCCAATCAAAGCAGCAGCAGCAACAGTGGTGAAACCGTTGCAACAGCTACAAGATTGAACACCGTTTCACAAACACCCACATTGCGCCCCAGCCCCACGACGCAGTTGGTCAGCTCGCAGCGCATGCGGGAACAGCAGCAGTTGCAGGTGCAAGAATTGGCCCAAAAGAGAGCAGAAGAGAAAGCCCGACTGGCATCGTTAGAACAGTCCACAAAACAGTCAATGCACCAGCAACAAAGACGAACTTCACCACTCAAAAAGCTCCGGAAGTGGATGCGAAAACCATCCTCAAGCGGGGAGAGTGACTAGAGCTTCTGCAGGTGCCCACCATGGATGCCCAGGTCCAGCCAAGGTATGCGGCTTTCTTCAACAACAATTCGCCTTCTCCTCCTGCTTCCGCCGTGCTACCACTCCATATCTATGACTTCATGTGAATCCAATCCTGACCCAGAGCAAAACTGTTCTATTTGTGCCTGTGTGTTCTCCCATTCCAGCAAATTATTCCTCTTCAGTATTTCCCTTCAGTGCCTGAACAAAAAGCATTTCGACTTCTGTGTTGAGTACCTTCCAATTTTACTTCGGCTTCTTTTCCTCCACACTCGATGCATCTCGAAAATCTTCTCCTGCGTTGTCAAGGCTTTGAGAGAACCATGTTGTGATGTCCGCAGAAAATAAGCGGACCCTCATGATCGATCAAAGTCTTCTAGTTCAAGGGAAGAACTCAGTAAGGTACGGCTGTAACAACAACGGTGCCCCCGGCACATCTTGAATGCTCGCATGATTCTCCTTCCACGACTTCCATCTTTCGCATTGCGACATTGCTCAGAGCACTAAATCCCATCGTCGCGTTGAGGACCTCGCGTCGAAACTCTTAACGACAATCCAGCTGAAACCCGCGATTCGATACGACACCGGGACGAAGTGCTCCGCTAGACAGCAATACACGCAAGTGTAATATCAAGAACCTTTCCTTCCGCCATCTGTATATACATGTATAACAAATAACATCTAGAAAAGATGCTTCAGTTGAAATAAATAATGTTGTCCTCCCATCGGTCACTCTTTCGTAGGTCGCGTACCCTTCTCAACGAAAAGGCAATGGGTTTAGTGCTGCTAGCTAGCGGGGTTTAGTTGCTAGTGTACGAAGCCACTGTGGGCCAGGCCTAAGGGGGAACATGATTCGATGCAAGATTCAATCAGCCGGTGGCTCAAGCATCACAACGGTACCGGTAGTCTAGCTGTTTCAAAAAATGCTTGTATCATGTCCAAAATGGAAACCAGAAGCCCTTATCGCATCATTTGGCAGTTCGTTTTCCCCTTCTGCTGCGTGCCGGTGTGCTGTGCCGTCATGATCTGGTGTCTGCTGCGTCAGTGGTCTGGGGGGTGTCATCTTTATTGTGGCAGATGCAGAAGTGGAAAGGGCACCGTCATCTGCTGCGGCGGGGAACCACACGGGGGATGCTTCTACGGCACCTGGGTTTGACGGTTCGTCTGCGCTGGGCGTGGATTCCTGTTCCGGTACAATGGAGTCCTCTTTCGACAATACCGACGGTGCCGCCTTATTGGGATTCAATTCAGGCAGCGGGGTTGACGGGTACACTTCCTCGGCTTGCTTGATCTGATCTAGCCCTGTGTCGGGGGTCTGTAGAGGCGGAGAAGCACTCTCGTCCGCCGACAAGGAGGGAGAATCGTTCAATTCATTTTCAACAGCTGGTATCGCGGATTCGTCAGCTTCAACCTGGCCAGTGCCGAGTCCGAGAGGATCATCAGCGGGTACTGTCGGTGCTGGGTTATTGCGAAATTTTCCGGCAAGTGTACCCCAAAGAGCTTTAGGATCCGATACATCTTTGGCCTTGGACGTGAAGCTGGCCCAGAAGCTCTCAGCTTCCCTGCTGGCCCCGCGAAGTGATTCTTCAAACAAGTCCTGCTGCGTACGCAAAATTGGCTGATAATTATCAGGGAGCTGTATATTGCTGGCTTTTTCAGAGAGACTCTCCAAAAGCGCTCTGACAGAGGGAGATTCTTTCTTGGCACGATCTGACATACTTTCCAACAGGTCTTGAGCTTCTCTGGCTCTGCTGTTCAGAACATCCATCAAATCCGGTCTCGCCGTGCCCGCAGGGAGATTGTCTGGTATGCTGGAATGGTAAAGCTGAAGGGGAACCGCAACGCCAATTGCAGAAGAAACAAGGAAGGTAGCAATTCTGCCGTAAACCTCGTCGTCGTCGTCATCATCATCATCATCATCATCGTCGTCGTCATCGTCGTCCCAATCCTCATCAGCTTCTGCCTCTTCGTTGACTTCCCTTCTCAACAAATTGTCAGGGTCGTAGAGTAGCTCTTCCAAGCTAAGTTTGGGCCTTGAAGCTGAGGCTTGGGCCTGTAAAGTTGTAGGTTGAGTTGGAGCAATCTCCATTAGTTGCGTGGGCATTGGAACCACCTCCTCCTTTTCGGGCCAGGCCTCGTTGTAAAAATTCTCAATGAACGTATCAGCCATTGGCTGTGGAGCCTCCACTTCCTGGAATGTTGTCGTTTCCAACCACGCTTCCACTGGGGCTTGTGATGAGGCCACTGGGGCTTGTGATGAGGCTGAAATTGTACCACTGATGCTGCTCTCCATTGGCTCTGATGTAGGCCCTGGTTCGACCCCAACCAAGTTGTCGTCAAGGGGTGACATTCCACCAAAGGAAACACCACCAACATTTTTGGCTGTTTCCACCATAATTCTTTCGTCTTGCTGGGCTAGTAGAGCTTCGCACGAGTTCTGTATCTCGATCAATGCCGACAGTAGATTTGAATTGTAGTTTTCCATTCTGTCTTCAAAGGTTGTCAGTGCTTCCCAAAACTCTTTGGTTGGTCTAAACATTGCTGTTGCGGGGCTAGTTTGCGCTTTTGATGTCACGGCTTGCTCTGGAGGACCAGCGGGATTCGCTTGATTTTCCCACGGATCCAAGGATTCCTTGGGTGGAGCCGGCGACAAAGAAGCAGCGTCAAGTTGTTGGTAAGACGGATCCAGAGGAGGAGCAGGCTGTATGGTAGTAGACTGCAGTGAAATATCTGGCATGGTTGGTTCCTTTGTGGTTGTGTCTTGTTGTGTCTTTGTAGCCTCTTTGTTGGTGGTCGTCACAATCGTTTGCTGTATATCAGTTGTGCTGGGGGTATGTATTGCTGCTGTGGTTGCGGTTGATGTTGCTGTTGCTGGTGTACTTGTAGTAGGAAAGGTCAAGCCTTTATCCGCCATCTTCAGAAAGGACCCTTTGATTTCGTTTAAAGCCTTGAGAATTTTGGCATCCCCCTCCATCATATTGGCATCTACACGATTCCATGCATTGGCTTCACGTTCGTCTTTTTGTTGTTGTTGTTTCAGCTGTTGTTGTTTCAGCGAAATTTCATGATGCAGAGATGGTTGTGGTGGCGGACTGGCATAATCATTGTTACTATGCATATTTGAACTGGAAGGCTCTGTGAAAGGAAGAGTCTTTTCGTTTCCTTGTAAAGGTGTTTGACTTGTTGAGGGAAATGCCACACTTTCAGCCCGAGGTTCTTCTTGTTGTGTGGTGGCAACGATCTCGATTCGCTGGCAAGAGTCTCGGAGTTGGTACAATTCTGCAATTGCCACTTCATTATTGTCGTTGTCTTCCGCATGATCCAGGGCTTTTGCAATCTCCACAAGTTTGCTCCATGATTCTCTCATTTGATGGAGTTGTTGAATAATTTTCTCGTCGTTATCCGACAGGTCTCGGTCGACCTCTTGCCACGCCTTGGCAATGTCCAGTGGGTCGTCAATATTTTGGAGGAGTTGCTGGTTGTCTTTTGCTATTGGTGCTTCTGCCGTGGATTGAGGGTTGTCGTCTGTTCGTTGATGCGGCTGATTCATTTTCTGGACATACGTGGGAGTGGCATCAAAGAGTGGTGGAATGACGACTGCTTGCTGCTTCTTGGGTGGCGATGATGGACGACCATTATTTTGTTGGTTCAGATTAATCATGGCTTGCTCTTGGAGTACTTGCCAATTCTCTTTCAACGTGTCCCGAATCTCCAGGAGTACGGCCAAAGTTGCCTTGTCATTTTGCTCCATGTCAATCCCCACTCGGGTCCATGCCTCGGCGATGGCAGGTTTATTATCAGTTCCAACAGGGATGGGATGATTCATAGTAGGAGTGCCAACATCCAACGAGGCGCTGCGAAACGTTGTGGGAAAGACGGCCTTGCTGATTCTGGACGGTGCTGGTCTCAACCTGTATGGAGTCCGTTGAAAGGCCAAAACCGACTGGAGATTCCAACTTGCTTGGCACGGCCATACTAATAATAGAAGAGCCAACAACACCCAAGTCAGAAAAAGGTGACGTGGGAAGCAAGGGTATCTTCTTCCAAACCCAATGAACCCATAAACAGCAGCAGTGCCATTGGCACTATTCTTCTCCATATTGAATTACTAGCAATAGAAATGCAGGTGATGGATGTCAGTCTATGCATACACCAACGATAGCAACCAATTCAGATTCAGAGCTCAGATAAGGTGATGTGGTTGGCTTGGGTGTGGCCATTTATTTTGTTGATGCTTGAGTTCTGCAGCTTTGTCAGATCTTGGGACAAAGATCAAAGCTTCGCTTCTCGTGGACACCATCCGTAGACAAGCAAAACGTACTTCTGGTAAATCCTTTGTGCTGAACCGGTACCGGTACACAGTGTACAAACATCCAAGTTTGGTACCGTATCCACGTTTGACCTGTCTGGGGAGTGCCCAAACAAAATCTTGCTCCAAAAACAGACCCCAGAGAGCTCCTCAGAGTTATGCATACTTCACGAGAAGAAACAAAAAACATTCAACAGAAAACCAACGAATCGAAACAGTGCCATGCAAGACAACCAATCACCTTTCCCAGCCTACAAGGAAATCCCAGTCGATGAAGAGGACTATCGCTACTCACAAAGCTTTTATCCAAATGTCGCCACGGATCTCCCCTTGGCAAAGGCGTTCTTTGACCAGTACGGCTTTTGCATTTTTCGCGGCGTACTACCAAAAGAGCAGTGCGGCGAAAACGTAAAGGATATGATGGCGTTGCTACAAGAACGAAATCCCAATGTCGACCCTGAAAACCCAATCTTTTTGACGGGCCTCACTCACTTTGGTTGCCCCAAACGTGTCAACAGTTTGTTTCGTCCGCCGCTCTTGCGATTGCGACAAGATCCAGTGCTACACCGAGTACTAGCCACTGTTTTGGGCAACAACGATCTGATTGTCAATCACGATCGATGGCTCTTGCACCGGCCACCACCCGCCTCCAGCCAAAAGCCGTTGACAAGACGCAACGTCCACATCGACATGAACCCGTTCGAGTTTGCAGACGAAACCGCCAAAGTAGAAATTCAACACCGTCTTTCCCAACTGGAGTATGGAAAGAACGATCGAGCGTTCATTGCCGAAAACAATGACGTCCACGAGTCCATGTTGATGGATGGTGGTGGTGTGGTGCAGGCCATTGTCAATTTGAGGGATATACCCAGCCGTGACCACGGAGGAACCATCCTGATACCTGGTTCGCACAAGACCTTTTCCGCCTGGCTGGGACAGTGCGCCGACGCCAACAAGCGACGAGTGGGACCCATGCAATACGTGTTAGACGACAATGCCGACCGGGAACTCTTGAGCTTGGTACAGCATCCCACCCTGCGGGCCGGGTCGGTGATTGTATGGGATCAACGAGTCTTTCATGGTTCCACACCGAACATGAGCTCGAACTTTCGAGCGGCCATCCCCATAAAGGCCTTTTCAGCGGTCCAGTTGCAACAAGACCCGAAACGAGCGAGAGAACGAGCCGCAGCCATTCAACGAGAAATTGAGCGAGTGGGCTTTGAAACGGAGCTGACTGATCATGGACGACGGGTGTTTGGGTTGGATTTGAGGCAACCCAAGAAACCTTGAAATTGCAGCAGCTGACTCTTCACTCGTACCCGTATGACTGGCACTACACTTGGTGAGGCCCGGTTTAGTCCTCAACTAAATAAAAAGACAACATTTGCAATCTGTATACTTTATTTGTGCGTATTGTAATCATCCATTCAAGCTTACTTGCGGCCGGCTCCGCTGGGGCAATGGCCCATTCGTCATGCATTCCTTCTTTTGTGTGTGCAATACAGGTCGTCGGCTAAAAGAGACTCGAATCGAAGCCTCCGAACTGGGATGGTTCTTGTTGTTGTCTTATTTCGGGTTCTCCGACATACCGCGGTCGCCATATGTCAGTTTCATCCAGCACGGCGTCATTGACGGGTTTCAGAGCTTTCCGCTTTTCCTCAATCATCTGAAGCTGAGCTCGAATCCTCTCGATCTCCTTCAGGGTGGCTTCACGAGAGGCATCATCCGTCTTGCTTGCTGGAGCAGCGTTGGTGACCTTTTGTACCACTGGAGTTGCTGCTGCGGCTTTGACTTCTTCCTTCTTTGGCTGTGGTGCAGGTGCTGGAGCCTTTACTTCTTCTTTAGGCGCTGGTGCAGGTTTCGGAGCTTCTGCTTTCACTTCTTCCTTCTTTGGCGGTGCCGGTGCTGGGGCTTCCTTTGCTTTCACTTCTTCCTTCGGTGGTGCTGGTGCAGGTTTCGGGGCTTCTTTTGCTTTCACTTCTGGCTCTGCCTTCTTTGGAGGAGCATCGGCGTCTTTTGCCTTGGGTGTCTCCAATTTGGGAGGGCTGGCGGGGACCGCTGGGACAGCAGGCGTTGGTGGTGGGGCAACGCTCTTGATTGCAGCGGCTGTTCCTGCTGCCGCTCCTAGCTTGCCCAGATCCTTCTCGGCCGTGCTTTTACTCAATTTGTCCATCAGAGAATCCACTTTCTCTCCACTTTTAGAGAACGAATCACTCATGCCAGCGTCCTTGTTCATTTTCTGCAAAAACGAGTCGAGCCGCTCCGTTCCATCAGAGATTGAACCTTTCAACTTGTCTTGGGATAGACCCGCACGGTCCATTTGCCGCCGTACTTCCTCAGCAGTGGGAAAGTTGTATTCCGACATTGTGTAGGATGTTGGCAACTTGATGTCCCATCGGTACTTGGCAATTTTATCGATTTGTTGTTTATATTGAGGGAACTGCTTGACCAAGGGATCTCGAAAACTCTCTGGAGGTAAGGTTTGTAGTGCCAAAGGTACCGCTGCTGCTGTTGCCAACGTCACGGCGCCAACGCCATTCCAAAAAGTTCGTTGATTCTCTGCTCGTTGTTGTTGTTCAGGGGTTAGCGGTGGTATGTCAAAATTGAGCTCGATTCGGTTAAAGGAAGCCTGCTTACCTTGATACTCATAATTATAGTAACCGTTGCCTCTTGGATCCATTCTCCTTCCTCCTTGATTATTGTTGCCTCCCATTCTGCCTCCACCTCCACCGCCTGCTTGCTGTCGATATCCACGTTTCTGGTTGCCTCGCTGTTGTTGCTGTCGTTGCTGCTGCTGATACCCATCCGTTCGGATTGCTTGCTCGTACAAACCATATCTTCCTCCTCCTCTGTTGAGCACTTTGCCTTGTCCAAACCCTGGCTGATACACACCCGCTCGGGTTCCTCCTAGCGTGGCGTTCCGACTATCCGCTCGTTCTACACGAACTGGTTCTACATATCCCAAGGGTCGTGCCGTCTTGACATCATCCTGATCCGCTCGCATAGCCCCGGCGTTGGACATGGGGTTCGATCTTGTAACGTTGGCGGGGAATCCCGGACCAAAACTCTGTGCTTGATTGACGACCGCTTTTTCCGCCTGGGCAGGTGGGAGTAGATAGACAGAATTTCCCTTTTGGTTGGAATTCTTCTTGACTTGTTGTTGTTGTTGGGATCTTCCAAACTGGAAGAAACCTCCTGATCTCTTATTAGTGTTTGACGTTTTGGCATTGCTCCGATACTGTGTCTTGCTGTCGTCATAGCGAATGGCATTCTTGTAGGACGACCCCCTGGAGAAGGGATCATCTGGGTCGAGCCGCAGCTGCCGGTCAACATTGTAGTTATCCGACGGATAGTTGACATCTTCAGAGTATACTTGTGGTTGCTGTTTGCGGTTGTTATTGTTGTTTCTCTGAAAAAAGCCGGATACGCCCTTGGGTGATTTGTTCGTCTTGATGGTTGTGGCGGTGGTCATGGGACCCCGATATTGTTGTTGCTTCGTTTGATAGATGTTGCCTCGGGGGGATCCTGGTGCGCCCGGTGCGAAGATGGTACTGTTCCGCTGAACAGAGGTCACCTGATCGGCGGCCAATTGATTGGCTCGAAGGTAGTCGATATTGTTGTTGTTGTTGGCCGTCCGTCGATTGTTATTGTTCCAGTTGGAGTTTCGACCTGGGGGAACAATGGTGCTATCAAAGCGTACACTATCATCCTGATCTGGCGTCAAGGAGGACAAACTGCTGGGCTGTTCCGTGAATGCGGCAGGAAAGAGTGAGTTCCCTCTTCCATTCCCCTGATCTGGTTGCAATCCTTTCAAGTTCATGCCATTGTCATCGTTGTTTCCGCGCCTTCCCCAAGGATCAAACGACATGCGCAGCCTGGTACTACTACTGTGACCGCCACGGATCTCTGGCGCCGCCGCGGGAAGACCAAAGAAGGATTCCCGCAGCACCATCACCGCGGATTGACGAGTCGAAGAGCTACCAAAGCCATGGACTGTAGTGATGACGATCGACCAGGCGCATACAAGCGCACATAGCGCTGCCTGAGAGAACCTCATCATGGTAATATCAGCAACCTTCCGGACTCACACAGACAAAGAGTTATCTATCCTTAGGCGGTGGCCTTCGTGCTCTTTCAAGAAGTTGTGGGATTGATATATTGATCAGTACAGTATCGATAGAAAGTGACATATGGTTACGGATGATTGCCTTGTCCTTTTGGTGTCCCTGTAGCTCTCTAGCAAGCTGCTCTACTACAAGCTGCAATCAGAACGAAAAAGGATCAATCTGTGGCACAAGACGGATTTCAACTGAGCAGCAGCAATCAAGGACGACAACGAGCATCTGCCGTCAGCCTTTCGATGAATGGGAATGGATGATCTGAAAAGTGCGTTTGTATGACAGGTGTCTTTGCATACAAAGTTGACTCTGGGCGGCTGCTCATTGGTTGTGGGGTACGATTGTACGAATGTCTTCAGCTGATGTTGCGGGGCTATTGGGTGCTTTTCTCACTCGATGTTCTTTGAAAGGCGGTGTGTCGACATACGTCACACTATTCGTCATCGATTTGCTAATGACGTGTATTGTCATTTGAGTGCCGCTTTTAAAATAAATAAATCCAAGCTGCAAAGCTCTTAAGCCTTTTCTACGAGAAGCGAAGAGAAGAAAGACTACTATTAAATATGACTCGTCCCTCGTCACTCGCACTCATCGTTTCGGAAGGCTCGGCAAACAACAAACAAACACCCCATGGTTGCAGGGGGCTACGGTAACACTGGATCAACCACTGGGCTGAGCTTGGAAGAGAAGACTGAACTCGAGACAGCGCTTGGTGGGATCAGGGGCACAAATTTATAATGTGGACCCTTGTCTTTGTGTGATGCCAGTCCAAGGATCCATAGATGCAAAAGGAGTAACCTTTGCGTGGGCGACAGAATGCTGGAATTTGATTAGAACATTGTTTTAAAACATGTTTGGGACTTCTGTGTTTTAGAGGGACTTCTGCAAGGTTGCATGAATTCAAAGCTCTGCTTTGGGAAATCTGGATTTTCCTTCACAGGTGGAAGCCCAGAGCCAAACTATAACCGTATCATTCCCTCGAGCTCGCTACAATCGGCTGCCATGGGCAATGCAAAATAATATGAACTATGTATTAGTACGACGAATCGTTGAAATGTAAAACATCAAAAGTTGTAGCTGTTCAAGGTTGTCGTTGGATGTGCTCTTCTCTCATGCATACAGTACCGAAACAGTGACTGACACGCACAAGCCAGAATCTTTTTTGTATGAAATCCAAAAAACAAACGTATTCACATGTAGCACTTGGTTGATTCTTTGAGTCTCTCTCACCAAATGCAAATGCTGCCTTTTGCTTGAAAAGCATTCTGCAGCATCGTTCTTAATATTCATCTTCTAAAACAACGAATTGTCGTCCATTTGCTCGTCATTGTTCTCAAACACACCGAAGAAAGACCATATGGAAGGAGACTTGTCCGTCTTCTTGACTTTTTGTTCCAATGATTCCTTGTTTCCAAACAAGGACCATCTCACGGGAGTCTCCTCGGCCACGTCGGTTGTCTCTTCCGGTATCACTTGCATACGCATCTCTAGACCTTCACCCTTCTCAATCTTTTTGGCGGCAGCCTGTAGCTCGTCCACCTTGGCTACAATCACGGGTTCTTCTTCTTCCGTTGTCGCCTTGGCCACTGATGCGGCTTCCTCTTTGTTTGCGGGTGTGCTCAAGTCCTTCATCAGCGCCTGCATTTTCAGTTCTAGTGACTTCAATTCCTCCCTGACCTTCTTATCGCGCCCCTCAGGTTCCTCCTTCACTGGTGCTGGTTTTGATTCTTCTGGTCCCTGTACTCGTTGTGCTAGTACCCGCAATTCCTCTTTCGCCTTCTCGCGCCCTTCAGGTTCCTGCCTTGCTTCTGGCTCTTTTGCTTCCGGTTCCTGGATGGTCGGTGCTTCTTCTTGCTGTTGTTGTTGTTCCTGAGACGCATCCATTGCTGTCACAGGTTTAGTGGAGGATTCTTCCGTCACCGTCGACTCCTCAACAGTTTTTGCGTCTTCCATCTTGGCACTTTGTTGTGCCATTGCATCCTCATCCTTGGTGAGCTCTGATTCCTTTCCTGCTGCAATAGGCTCATCTATTACTGCAACTGCGTCCTCCAACTTTGCTTCTTCTGTCTTTGCGTCTTTTAGGGTTGCTTCGACTGGGGAAGCGGCCTCTGCTGATTCTTCTTGTTTCACGGCTTCCGGTGAGGTTTCCTCCTCGACGGTGGACTTTATGGCCGGATTCATTTCCTCAGCAATCTTCTGTGGTTCACTGGCTGTCACAGGAGCGCTTTCTGCTACATTCGAAGCGTCATCGGCTGCCACTGCAGATGACTCTTCTTCGACAACTACTGCTTGATCAACTGGGGCTTTGACCTCGGAACTCGATGCATCCTTCACTGCTTCGGGTTCCTCCTTCAAGGTAGCAACATCTTGTATTGCCGGCTCTACGTTTAACTCAGGCTTTTGCGCGGCTTCAGCTTCTTTGGGGGTGCTCGGCGTCTCTGGTTCTGCAACTGATGCTTCAGGGGAAGCTTCCTGTAACCGCTGTTCCACTGTTGCCTCTTCTTTGCTGGCGCTGGGACCTTCGTCCGCAGCACTGTCTTCTTCAACAGATGGGTTTGTGAAGGGTCGGCTCACCCGGTCAAACCATCCTGGCAGAGCTCCCTTTGGTTCATCTGCCTCCTCGCTGGAGTCAGCGTCGGGTGACTTTTGAGTCTCCGTCGGCATCACCTTTTCTAGTAATCCAGTCAAAGGATTCTGAGGTGACTCGCTGGTTTCTTCCTTCGCAGCGGACTCGGGAATCACAGCCGTCGTTTCCTCAGGTTTCTGATCTACTTGAAGATTTACATCGGGCTTGACCTCGCTCTTCTCCGCGCTTTCTTTGATCTGTTCCGCAAAATCTGGGGCTGCGGCGTCTGGTTTGACTTCAGCAATCTTGCCCTCGATCTCTTCCAGCTCGGCCTTATCCTGGTCAAGCACTGCTGGGGCTTTGGCGTCCGGTGAGATCTCATCAACCTTCTGCTCAAGTTTCTCCAGATTCATCTTTATGCCAGGAGGGAGGGCGATTTTGTCCAGCTTGGCCTTCACATCAAAATCAGGAGTCAGATTGATTTTTTCCATTTGCTCCTTCATACCGGGAATGAATGAATCCAATTTTGATAGCGGGCGAGTCTGCATAGACGGCATTTGAATCTTTTCTCCTAGCTTGTCCAAAGAGAAATCGCCTGTCGAGAACGCCGCCTTTCGACCAGCTACATCGGAGCTCGCTTCTTTGGACGGGAGGATATCCGGGATCTCTGGCAAAGTAATCTTGATCGATTCAAAGGGATTCGACACGCCGTCCGCCTTCGGCAAAAAAGACGACGCCCTTTCCAACTGTTGGGTAACGCTATTCGACATCAACAGGGCGGAAAGCAAGTATACTGTCAGCGGCGCACCCAGACCAATAGCAGCAACGCTCATGTACTTCTGCAAGTCGAAATCGAACTTGGCCATATCTCCTTCTTCGATTGCCTTCTGTCGTTCTTTGCGTAGTTCCTGCAAACTTGCCTGGTTGGAGAACACAAATTTATCCCGGTTGATATACGGCTTCTTGTCGTCAACAAGTATTTTCTCTCTGTTCATCCTTTCATCGAACTCCTTTACTTCTGGACTCACCAAAACTTTTGCTTTGGGCCTCGTGGCTTGAGATTCATCCTTTCTTTCCTTCGCCTTGAAGAATCCACCTGGGGCTCCCGCACTTTCTGGATACAAGCTCCCTGCTGTCTCTGTCTCTTTCACAGCCGATTTGGGAAGGCCCGACGTAGCGTCCCTCGGCATCGGTGGCACCACACTGCCACGAACCGCTTTGTAATCATCAAGGCTGTTTGCTTTGGGGACGTTTCCCGCAGGCTTACTATCCTTTTGCTTGCTGAAAATGCCACCTGAAACCCCTTGGCTCGAAGGATACAAGTTAACAGCCTCCTTTGCACCAGAGGCTGTCGCTCCAGGTGCTGCCGAAGGAGGTCGTGGCGGTTGTTGCATGCCAAACTTCAGGGCTGGCGTCATTGTTGGTGGCATTGTCTTGGGACTGCCATTCTTTTGAGCAGCACTGCCAGGAGGTCCCTTGCCCTTTCCAATTCCAAAAGAAGGGGGCGTCGTGGTACTAGCTTTGTTTGCCTGTACTGGCTGATTCTTGCCACCAATACCTGTTGCCATGCCTTTGATGCCCTTGAGAGCCGACATAAAAGGCGACTGTGCTTGCATAGGCGGAGTCAACTGCCCTTCGTCGGGAGTGGAGGGGTCACCCTCGGTATCTGTTCCATCAGATATGGCCTCCGGCTTCGATGGGCCTTCTGCTAGATCGTCAAGATACGAAAACTCAGATGGGACCCGAGGGTTCGCTTGCTTGTCATCCGTTGCAGAATTGGCGCTTTCTTGCCCAGAAATAATAGTTGAAGCAACGTTACGTCCAGGCCCCACAGAACCCGGGACAACACCCTTCGGAGCAGCCACTTTGCCATTCGAAGACTGACCGTTCCAAGGTTGAGAACCAGCTGGATTCGGGCTACTCGTTTGCCCAGAATCACTTGTGTCCCCAAGCTGGCTGTTCCATGGTTGAGGTGATGTTGGCTTCAATCCACCTTCTTTTGGTGGACCACCAAAAGGGAAAGTGCCAGGTGTTTTTGACACTGAATCATCAGGTGTACTCTCCTCTTTTGGCTGTTGTGGTCCACCAAAAGGACTGCTAGGTATCTTATTTGTTGATTCATCAGCAGGGCTTTCTGCTTTTGGTGCTGGCGGTCCACCAAAAGGAAACGGGCTGCCAAATGTGTTCTTGGCAGATTCCCCAGTGGTACTCTTTCCCTTGGGCTTGGGAGGTCCGCCAAAAGGGAAAGGACTGCCAGTTGCTTTTGACTCAGATTTGCCAGAGGGGCTCTCTACTTTTGGCTTGGGTGGGCCACCAAAAGGGAAAGGACTGACAGGCATTTTGGCCGCTGATTCCTCCCGTGTGCCCTCTGCTTTTGGCATTGGTGGTCCACCAAAGGGGGAGGTTCCAGCTGTTCCCATTGCTGATCGCTCAGAGGTGCTCTCTGCTTTGGGCGGTCCACCAAAAGGGAAAGGACTGCCAGGAATTTTGGATCCTGGTTCATCAGGGGAACTCTCTGCTTTTGGCATTGGTGGTCCACCAAAAGGGAAAGGACTGTCAGGTACCTTGACTGCTGATTCCTCAGAGGTGCTCTCTGCTTTTGGCATTGGTGGTCCACCAAAAGGGAAAGGACTGCCAGGTACCTTGGCTGCTGATTCCTCAGAGCTGCTCTCAGCTTTGGGCGGTCCACCAAAAGGTAGTGGACTTCCAGGTACCTTAGCTGCTGATTTCTCAGAGGTGTCCTCTGCTTTTTGTGTTGGCGGTCCACCAAAAGGGAACGGACTTCCAGGAATTTTGGCTGCGGCTTCCTCAGAGCGGCTCTCTGCTTTGGCCTTCGGTGGTCCACCAAAAGGGAACGGACTGCCAGGTACCTTGGCTGCAGATTCCTCAGAGCTGCTCTCTGCTTTGGCCTTGGGTGGTCCTCCAAAAGGGAAAGGACTGCCAGGTACCTTGGCTGCTGATTCCTCAGCGGTGTCCTCTGCTTTTGGTGTGGGTGGTCCACCAAAAGGGAAAGGAGTGCCAGTTGCTTTTGACTCAGATTCTGATTTGTCAGAGGGGCTCTCTACTTTTGGCTTGGGTGGTCCACCAAAAGGGAACGGACTGCCAGGTACCTTGGCTGCAGATTCCTCAGAGCTGCTCTCTGCTTTGGCCTTGGGTGGTCCTCCAAAAGGGAAAGGACTGCCAGGTACCTTGGCTGCTGATTCCTCAGCGGTGTCCTCTGCTTTTGGTGTGGGTGGTCCACCAAAAGGGAAAGGAGTGCCAGTTGCTGTTGACTCAGATTCTGATTTGTCAGAGGGGCTTTCTACTTTGGGCTTGGGTGGTCCACCAAAAGGGAGAGGACTGCCAGGTACCTTGGCTGCTGATTCCTCAGCGGTGTCCTCTGCTTTTGGTGTTGATGGTCCACCAAAGTGGGAGCTTCCAGCTGTTCCCATTGCTGATTCCTCAGAGGTGCTCTCTGCTTTAGGCTTGGGCGGTCCACCAAAAGGGAAAGGACTGCCAGGAATTTTGGATCCTGCTTCATCAGGGGAACTCTCTGCTTTTGGCTTTGGGGGTCCGCCAAAAGGGAATGGACTGCCAGCAGCCTTTGAATCTGTTTCTGATTTATCAAGGGTGCTTTCTAAGGTGCCACTTGCTTGGGTACTCTTCTGTTCTGAAGAGTGAGAATCTGAGGCACCAAGCTGCTCAGACTGCTTAAGAGGCGGCTTGAAACTGCTCCCAGGCTGGGAGAGGTTCGGCTGCGGAACAGCTTGGTTTAAGCTATTCTTCTGTAGTGGGCCACCAAAAGGGAAGGTGTCGCCTGATGCTGTGGACACTGACTCAGCAGGGGAGCTCTCTGTTTTTGGTTTCCCGCTACCAAAATGGGACTTGCCACTTGTTGCGGGGGACACTGATTCAGCAGAGTCAGTCTCGGAGACTGGCTGAAAACTACCTGGACTGGTCTGTGTGAAACCGTTTGCGCCTGCATCTTTGCCATTCAGATTGGCCCGCTGAGGTGGTGTTGGAACTTCCTTACCAGACGCTTTCGTTTCACCTAATACTTGGGGAAAATTCGACTTCATCTTTAAATCCCTGGCAGTTTTTGGAGCAGCTGTTTTGGAGCCATTCTTCACCGTCGAGGATTGAACTCCCTTGATTTTCATTGTTGGTTGCGTTGTGGAAGCTGTTGACGACATTGATTCCGCGGGCGTGCTTGGCTTCTTGCTCGAAATCTGTGGGACGACAAATCTACGGCCTTCAGCAGCCTTCTCTCTCTCGCTGGAAGAGTTTGTCTGAGATAAGCTTGTGGATGACGCTCGGAAATTTGGGAAATTGCCACCACCTGGAAACCTGGTTCGACCTGAATCATCGCGCGGTCCTCGGCGTGGCGGCGGTGACAGCTGTCTTCCACCTGCTCTAGGTGGAGGACCTTTGCGTTGTGGGGGCGCTCCAGACGCGGGTGGTCGCTGCTGAGGACCTTCCCTCGGATCGTCGTGAGGCAGCGGTCGCCGAGGCGGTGGGAACGATCCGCCTAGTGGTGGAGACTTTGGCCCTGGTCGTGAGCGTAGCGGAGGCGGCTTTGACGGCCCCTTCCGGGCAGAGAATCGGCCCTCACGACCAGGTGGCGGTGGGAGCGAAGATGATGGATCTGGGGGTGACTGAAATCTTGGTTTCGAATCCTCTGGTGGCACCTCTTTGTCCTCAACTGGTGGCATCTGAGATTCTTGTTTCAGCTCCTCTGGGGGCATCTGTTTGTCTTGTCCAAACGAGTCATCAACTGGTGGCATCTGAGATTCTTGTTTCAGCTCCTCTGGTGGCACCTCTTTGTTTTGTCGGAAAGGTGCAGAGGAGGCATCAACTGGTGGCATCTGAGATTCTTGTTTCAGCTCCTCTGGTGGCACCTCTTTGTTTTGTCGGAAAGGTGCAGAGGAGGCATCAACTGGTGGCATCTGAGATTCTTGTTTCGGCTCCTCTGGTGGCAGCTCGCCTTGTACTGAAGTTGGAACCAAGTCTTCACTTGGCGTCACCGGAACGTTTAGTGTGGGCTGTTTTGGTGGCCCATCATCCACGCTTCGCGAAGCCGAGATGGAGTCCGTTACTGGCGGCGTCTGAACCTCTTGTTTTGGCTCTTTCGGCAGAGTGTCGCTTTGCGAGGCTTGAACCGTGGCAGGTGGCGGCGATTGTGCTGGCGGAGGCGCAGCTGGCTGTGGTGCAGGTGGTGGTGGTGCCCAGGTCTTGCTTGCAAAGCCAACAAAGCCAGGGCTTTTTAGACGATCTTCTCTCGTCAATGGTTTTGGCGCAGCTGGTGTTGCGGCTGGTTGTGGCGCTTGTGGTGGCGCTGGCGGTCCTTGTAAAGGGGCTTCATAGACCGGGCCTTGAGGTGGCGCTTCGAAGCTGATACTCGCAAAGCCCGAAAACCCCGGCGACTTCTGGTCCTCGTTAGAGACAGAAAAACCGCTAGCAGAAGAAGAGCTGGATGCTTCTGATGCTGTCGTCGACGATGACGACGATGCAGACTTAGCCGAATAATCGACTGCCGCGAAGCCGGCAAACCCGGGGGCCCTCTTCATATCGCTTGCGCTTGTTGGCACGGGTGTTGGTGGGGATGCCTTTGTCGAAGGCGAGGGCGGCGCTGGTTCAGCTCCGATTGGGAACTCATTTTGCGGGCCCTTGAAGGTTTCAGGGGATCCGGGTTTCTTGACAGCTCCCACGAGAAGACTGTTTTTGTCCTCATCTTTCTTGATGTCTTTCCACAAGACAAACTTTGAAGTGTCAAGCCTTTTTTCTTCTTCGGCGTCTGACCATTTTGAATCAATTAGAGGATTCCGCACTGGCAGCGGCTTGCCTTCCTCCTCCCAGTACTCCACTCGATCGTCAGGACCTGGAGGCTTTCTCACACCAGGCCACTTAGCCTCTTTCACATCTTGTGGCGGGGGGATAACTGATGGCGTAGTCGTAGTCGAAGCTTTAGGTGGGGACTTTGTTGATGCATCCGATGGTGTTTCTGCAGTTGTTGACGGCTCAGCAGCCGCCGCCTCCGTTGCACCTTCCGCAGTGATCTCAGCAGCCACTTCCACATTATCCGCTTCCTCATTTTCATCATTATTTGCAAACGAAAAGGGAGCCACCGTAACCTGCTCCACCGCATTGGCAAGTGGGGCAGACTGAGCCGCTGCATTGGCATAACTTGAATCGACGTTTGCTGGTGGGACCCACGATTCCGGATCCGCAGTTCCGCCTTGCACAGGAAATACAACTGACTTGGGCCCATCTTTATTTGGATCCGCTGTCTGGGTCTCAAACCGGGCGCCAAATGCCGACGCTTTACCTGGTACGGTCTCACGAATCGGCTCGAACGGTCCTGGCGGAGGGGGTGGCGGCGGTTCCTCGGTTTTATTTTCCAGCGGTGGCAAGCCCTGCTCCTGACGTTCCCGAGCCCTCATGGCTTCTTTCGCCTCTCGTTGCCTTCTCCTTTCTGCATCCTGCTTGAGCTCGCCAATCAAAAGGGCGTCATCATCAGCTTCCTGTTTAATGTCTTTCCACAAAACAAACTTGGGCGCTTCACTATCCTCAGGCGCCGTCCTACTGCTAAAGACTTCTCTCATTTCCTTCGTGGAACTTCGCCTTCGTGGTTTCGGTTCTGGCTCTGGTTCAGGAGAAGGGGTCCTTTCCCTCCTTCGTGGAGCTCTTGGTTCGTCTTCCCATCGTTCTCGTTCTCCTCCTCTGCGGTATCTTGGGTCTTCATCGCGGTATCTTGGGTCTTCATCACGGTATCTTGGATCTTCACCCCGGTACCTTGGATCTTCGCCACGGTACCTTGGATCTTCGTCACGGTATCTTGGATCTTCATCACGCCATTCCCGCTCCGGGGAATAGCGTCTGGGTTCACGTGGCTCCCTCCTGCTGTAAGGGCTTCTTCTTGGATCATCTTCTGGGGGCGGTCCTTCACGGCGATCTCTTTGCCAGTCCACTTGGAACGTTCGAATATTATTTTCGCCCCGTGGTGTTCGAGGCCGTCGTCTGTTATCCTTCGTCTTGTCATCATCTTTTTTGATGACTGGAATGGGAACGGGGTTGGTGGCTCGGAAACCCGGCTGTGCCACCTGTGTCTTGGAAAAATCATTATCATAGTCCTCAGGAGTGACATCCACCACGGTTGGATCATCGTACGGGTTCACACCCAAGCTTCTTGTTCTTGTGAATTGACCCGGATCCGCTTTCGCGCCCCTTGGTTCGGTTCCGTAATGGGGCGTCCGATTAGATCCAGCATTTGTGAAATTTCCTCCTGGTTGCCTTGCCACTCGTGGAACTCTTGGGGGTCGCTGCCGTTGCTGTGGGTACTGTGGCGGTTGCTGTGGATATTGGGGCTGTTGTTGCTGCACATTGTCCAAGTATGACGGATAATCCGTATCCTGCTGTGGTGCTGTCCTTCGGTAGTTGGGGGATCCATAATGAGGCGCACCCTTGGGAGCAGCTTCCTCGGTGGGAACTGGTGGCTGCTGCTGTTGCTGCAAATCTTGATACGACGCATCTGGATTTCCATAGGAATAATCACCCTGAGTGCCAACCGGTGGTGGTGCTGCACCTTCTGCACCGTATCCATACGTATACCCACTACTTGGATCTGCTGCTGCTTCCGCTCCAGAATTTCCATATGTGTAACCATCATTGGTATCTGCAGCAGCAGCCGCTGCAGCATCGGTGGCTCCATATCCATACGTGTAAGCACCTGGATCATTCGCACCGGCATTCGTTTCGGGAGCAGCAGGATATCCCCCTTGTTCGGGGGCGCCACTGTCGCCATAACCATAAGTAAAACCATCATTGGGTGGTGGTCCTTGTTCTTCAGCACCAGCACCATAACCATAGGTAAATCCCTGACCATTATTTGCTTCTGGCGGTGGCGGTGGTTGCTGCGCACCAGCTCCATAGCCATAGGTAAATCCGTCGGCATTGGGGGGTGGTGGTGGTACACTATTATTATCTGCTGCTCCTCCATACCCATAGGTAAATTCCTGCCCTCTACTATTGTCTTGGGGAGGAGGTGGTCCTCCTCCATATGTAAAATCTCCTTGTTGGTCATCTCCCTCGGGAGGAGGTCTTCCAGCATTTGGATCGTAGTGGAAAAAGCTCATTTGTACCCTGGAGTTTGACGCTGGGGTGTTCCTCTTGGCGGCAGCTACATCATCGCGATGATTATTATTATTGTTTGGCCGTTGAAACAAAAAGGGATTCCACTCTTTGGATGGATTGCTTTGCATCGATGCTTTTCCGCCAAGTCCAGGAAAGACAAAGGCTGAGCCCGAAGGTGGGTGCAGCAGCAGCCACCACACGGATGCGTGGATTAAAAACTTCATCGTCGTCACAGTTCGGTAGGGGTGGACCAGCTAGCTAGATATTACAGTGGAGATGAATACATGCATGCAGCTATCGTCTTTTTGTTTTTTGGCTACCAGTACTAGTCTAGCTTTGCCTGATGAGCCTTTCAAGGGCCGTGTCTTTCACAAATTATCGTTCTTATGCGGCCAGATGGTTGTTGAAAGGTTTTGAAGACAGATGGCAACACAGAATCTTCTTCTATCGGGCGGCTGTCAAGTTTGAAGATATTGAAGTGAAGGGTTGAGAAGAGCAGGTGACAAGCTGCCGTGCATGCCATCAAGAATGAGACGTTGGGATGCGAACTGGCCACAATTCTGGTGTCTTCACTTCCGCCAATAACATTCGTGGATCTTTCAAAATGACGTACTTAGTAAGCGTCAGAAACAAGAACCAGACTTTGATTTCATTGGGCCAGCTGTACCCTGTCAGAGGACACAATATGACGCACTTACACGGGAATAAACGAATCACTAATAAATTATAACCTGACGAAGCTGCAATATGAACCCTGTGGAAAGGAACTTTCATGATATTCAATGTCCACACACTCCGAATTCCGGGATTGACGACAAGGGTTTCTGCTGCCCCGCAAAGTCAAAGTGGACGCCCCTGATCGAAACCCTACCGTCAAACTCTGCACATAGACCCTAAAAACTACTCCCTCTACTAGCTAGGTACCAGGTAGCGAGTACATGTGACCTCTGACCTCTGACCTCTGAGTACTAGTAGTCTATCTATCTTTGTCTCTCCACCACTCCTGGTAGCCTGGTAGACTCAAGAGTAGCAAGCCAGCTACTGTAGCTACCGTAGAGAAACATCTTGTGCTAGTATCGTACTCTGCTTGCGGCCTCATCAGATGAGCTGATCGATGAAGGTGGCCGTGCCACCACATCGCTCTGGCTAGCTAGTAGCTAGCTAGTAGCCAGAGTTCTGTTTAACAAGATGAGGCTGTTGGTGCTGGTGCTTCTCATGCGTGGCCTTGGTCTCTTGAGACTTGAGACATCTTCCTTAAGGCAATTGGTTTTCTTGGTCGTTAAAACCTGGGATAGTTGCCAGAGTGGTAGCGTGGTAGCAGGCAATATGAGAGCGGAACATTGAAGAGACAGACAGGGAGCAAGGATCGAGTGGAAGGTGTTCGTCTGAATGCTTGCTAGCTAGCTGCTTGCTGGGATAGCTTGACCACTGAGCCTTTTCTTGGAACGGTTGAATGGTTGATGAGTTAGTTGTTGGTACATGTAGCTCGACAGAGTCCAGCTAGATTACAGTGTGCATACATTAGTAGTTGCTACTCCGTCATGCCGTACCTTGTACCTACACGTAATAGGTAATAGTATCGGAGGCTAGCTACCGTCTACGTCTTGACATGATTTCTGCAATACGATGGGAATAAAGTCGCCACTAATGATAGATAATAGTAACTGGAGTTGCGGGAAACTGACTTGGAGTACTTCCTTTTGGGGGCAACTGCTGGTTATGTCAATCTTCCACTTTGAGTCATGCTACCAAATTGCAGTAATCTTCCAGATTCCATCTTTCTTCCAGATTATTCACCCCTGACTAATTTCTACACGATTCTACGTAGAGCCTTCCAGATCAGCGTCATTCGTCCACATTGAGTCATTCTTCCATTTTGAGTCATTCTTCCGGATTGCATCATTCTTCCAAAAGCAAGAAATTGAACAATGCCAAACACACGAAAACAGGTATTCCCGCAACTCCACTGTTGTGCACTGCTGTACATGTACAGTAGCTACCGGTAGCTAGCTACACTATACTAGCCAGCTATTTTAATAGTACTGTACCAGGTATGCATACATGTAGCAGCTGTGCCGCATCCAGCCTTTCAGTTTTCCCAGTTTCCACCTGCTGCTCGAGTACTGGTTACAGCGATTTGACACGACTCCCTAAACTGTCCAAGAGTACCGTTGTAGTGTAGTAATCCTTTTACTTAGTACCGGTACACCCATTTCTGTTGGTCAAGGTCTTTCGAGTGTCCGCTTAACTTACTCTTACTCTTCATGCAATAGTATATATTTGAAACGACTGGTAAGGTTCAGGCTTAATGTTACTATGCAAAATATTGTAATTGATTTCTGTTGAAGAAATCTGAGTTGAAAAGAGTTGTTGGAGAAGAGATCAATAGAGTAGCCATTTGCGTTAAATCTTGCCCATTACGAGTAATAATAATGGTTGGTGGAGGGTGGAGGGTGTCAGAGAGACATATTAGACACCCATCGCTGTCCCAAGTTTACTGTAAGTTGGAGCGGCAACAAGGAACACTTCGATTGCTTTCTCGAATATACCTGCTTACAGCTTACAGTACCAGAAACCAGTACCAGGCTACCGTAATTCTAATCTTACTGTACAATCAATAGTATTCTACTCAAGTAGCTAGCTAGACTAGTTACCTAGCTAGGCTAGTAGTGTCTATTGAGACATAGAGACAATGAAATCAATTGTCAACAGAGAAGGTGGGTTTAGAGATGTTTGGATGAGGCCTATTTTCAATGTTTTTTTCTAATTCCTTGAGAACATTGCGTCTGATCCTGACCTTTTTCGAATAAAACCGTGAGTATTTCACTTTTCTTGGACATGGTATTTCAAATTTGTACTTATGGGAGGCTTCCTTTTGACTTCTCGTTTAACTACCGAAGGAGACTCGGCACCTGAGCTCCCTGTGAAACCTTCTTGTTTTCCGTACGCTTGCAGTAGACTTGGCAGGAATCCAACGCCAGCGAAAGTGATACTATCTCTAAGAACTCCAATGTACAGCACTCTTGTAGCGCTCTATTAACCCTACCACAACTACCAGGGTATCATACGTAGCTTCCTGCTGAAATCGCGAACGGTGTTCAATCCAATCGGGTTGTTTCCATTTTGACCCGTGCAAAGTTTTTCAAGAAGCTAGACCTCGACGCGCATCAAAGGCAACCGTAGACAGTGCTCTTTTCTTGGTCGAGCATCGACAACACTGCACTGCACCATGAGCTCCAATCAACCTCCTAACAGCAGCGGAGGTACTAGTAACGCTACCAACTCTGACCTCAACGACTCGTCCACTGGTGCCTCGATGGGTCTTGATTTGCAACAACAGCGCGGGGATCCGCCCGTGGATGACCCAGAGATTGGTACGTTGTTTGCACAGGTCGTGCCGGTTGCTTGTCTCTGTAGATATCACGTCTTGTTGCCTTGTTGCCTTGTTGCTAACTAGCTACTGTTGTATCGAATGCTTCATTGTGATGACGATTTCTCTTCGAACCAAGCAGCACCAGAGAGAGCAAGTCTCTTGCAGAGAGGAGCTTCTGCATCTACCAACAATAATATGAGAATACGTGAGGCTCTCTTCCGCAACGGAAGTGGTAGAGGCCTGCAAAGCGATCTTGCTGCGTTCAGCTCGGCATCTTCAGATGGACTTCGCTTGTTGCAAAATCTCGAGATGCAACAGCAACAACGGGCCCTCCTGGCAGCAACTGGGGCTAACCCACTTCAGCAACACCTGGGCTTGCTTCAACTTCAGCAGGTCGATACAGCAGCTTTGGAGCAAAACATTTCCAGTGCTTTTGGGTCTTCTGCCGCATTGGGCCAGCTGGGTTTGCCGGGGCTCAGTCCTTTTCAGCAGTTCCAGAACCTTGCTGGGGCGCCTTTTGCGGCCCAGCTGAATGCGGCCCAGCTGAACGCGTCCCTGTCTCTTGCAAGACCCCCCTCGTCCATCCTGGGAATGGCGTCACCTTTTGCGGCGCCTGGCACGTTGAACCCGTCTTCAGGAAATACGGATCGACCAGCAGCAAACAGGCTTTCTGATTTGCTCCAAGCCACCAACCGCAGGGGCGTGGATCCAACCAGAGGATCCAACCACGCAGATCTCTCCAACAGTGCCAGAGCCGAGCTGGCACAACGCCTTCACCTGCAGACGGAACAACTCCTGCAGCTGCAAGCTCAACAACGGCAACTTGGGAGGAGCACCCCTGTTGCGGCAGCCACTGGCAATTCCCAGCCCCCCTCGCAGAAGCCTCCGGGGCAACTGGTGGAACCACTCACAGTCGCAGCTGCGGCCCAGAACAGGGCACAGCTCCCCGCACCAGCTAAAGAGGGCAGCAAGAAGAAGAAGAAAAAGGCAGGAAAAAGGAAGGCCGCCGCACAAGTTGATGATGCTTTCCTTATGAGCCTGATCGACACCAGAGCGGCCTCTTCAGGTACGCCATCTTCATCCAGCAACAGTATCAGCTCACTAGGTGGTCTCACTCGCAGTTCTGACACGAAACAAAAAGCCAAGGACCCGCCCGACGGGGAGCCGACAGCAACCGCAACCGCAAAGAAGAGCGCTAGTAACCGCCCGATCGTCAGGAAAAAGAGACGGGTGCCCGCCCACAGTCAGTTGGCCAATTTGCCAGAGAACACCACTCCGCATTTCACTGAACGAGAACATGCTGCGCTGGGGGTCGATGAAGATCATAATTGGCTCTCCGAATTCCAGTGTTTTGGTAAGAGCCGCCAACCGTGTGTGTGTTGCGGACTACAATTTCAGTGGGTCTCTCACAATCGCTTTTGGTGGGTCTGTTGTTTGTCTCCTTTTCCTTGCTTCAGCTCGAGTGGAAATGATGGAGGTGTACCAAGCGACCCAAGCTGATGTTGTGATCCGAAGTACCTCAAAGTCGGTCAAGCTGGACCAAGTGGGTGTCCGTTGTCGCTTTTGCGCGCATCTGCCTCATGGAGAAAGGGTCAATCGATCCAGTGCCTTTCCTTCTCGACTCAACAAGTTGTATCAGTCATTCAACATGATGGTGAGTCACCGCAGGAGCCTGAGGCAAAATCGAATCAGACGCATCATCTTCAATCCATATCACTAACGCGAGCTCTGTGATCGTCGTTTCTTGTGTGTAGGTTCGTGACCATTTCGCTCACTGCACTGAAATCCCCCATGACACCATGGAGCGGTACTTGGCCCTCAAGGCCAAGAACTCGCAAGGTGCCTGTGATTCTCGTCATTACTGGTACTACTCTGCCCAGAAACTTGGCATGATCGACACCGTCAAGCCTGGAGACGAGGAGAGTATGAAGAGCGGCGGAGGCAATGGTATCGAAATGACCCCGGAAACTCAGGCGTCTGGTCGAAACATGCCTCCTTATGGAACCGCGATCGAAGAAGTGGCATCGGCCACAGACCAGAGCAAGGCGGAAGACCTCGCCCTTGTCCGTATCCCCGAAGACAAGGACAAGGCATCCCCGTTCCTCTACGAGCTCATGTCACACATTCAGATCGTGCGGTTGTTGCAATCGGAACGAGTTGGCAAGAGAAAGACTCTCCCCCTTGGACTGAATGGTTTTGGGTGTCGTTACTGCTTTAAGGTTGGCCGGTTGGGTTTCAGCCGGTGCTATCCTCTTCGTCGAAGGGGTTTGCCAGCCCAGATTTATGATATGTACAATCATCTTCAACGATGCACCGTGTGCCCCGAACCAGTTAAGACGGTCCTCCGTCGGTTGCGAGATGAACAGGATAAGCAACGAAAGCAGGCTGCAGGTTCAGAGTCGAAGACGCAACCCTCCACCAAGACCAAAGGCAGCGGTGGCAGTTCAGAAGCACTTTTGGAAGGGGAATACATGGATTTAGTCTGGTCAAGACTTGGTAGAACCTGCGACTTGACTACTTAAAAGGCCATTCCTATTCCATGTCCTCCTTTCTTATTTGTCGCATTTGGAGTACTAAGTCTTTCAGCTCTTTCCTTGTAAAATCTAGGTGAGGCCGTGCCCAGTGGTGTTCAGGCACGTGATAACCGGTGTAGCATTCTCGTAGCAATCAATGATCGATGAGGAGCAGAGCTGACGGATTCTGTTCTGCATGGGTGGTGGTGGGCGGGCTCATGGAGCCCCTCACTCCTCTTCTCTAGCTAGTTTGTAGTTCATGTTACTATTGCCTGCATCAGGCGAGCCATTGCCGCAACTCCACTCCGCCACTGAAGGAAGCAGGAGCAGGCAAAAAAAAAATCCATGTCTATTATGGATTCAGACGAGTGCTTGAGGACAACCCATGAGGCACCAAGGCCCAGGTGTTTCACACAGTCATGTCTGCTCACCGGCCACACTGGCCTCCTGGAGAGATAGTGATCCCATTTAGTGTCTAAGGTTTGTACACTGAGATCTGAGCTATGGCTGTCACGCCACATGTCGTTGCTCGTGTTGAAGAGAGCGGTGCGAAGACGGAGCAGGCTGCGTCCAAAGTCGTGGCCAGTGCGTTCGTCTGACTTGTGAAAGGAAAGAAAGCTGGCCAGATTTTGCAAACCGAAGTCCAGAGACCAACCGTGATGTCTGTCCTCCTTTGTTCTACAAGCCAAGGATCAACCCTCCCTTTTGGCGACAAAGTGCCACTCTTCTCATGGCCACCCGCAAAGAACCCTCTGGCTGGCTTGGGTACTGCCTATGGGCGGTAGGAACTCATACCACAAAATGAATGCCTAGCCACCGCCGCCAAACTCTGTCCAGCGGGAAAGTGAGTTGACTGACTAGCGTTCCGTGCATCATGGGCTCGTACGCATCGGCGTAGCCGTCCGAGCCGGAGGTTGAGAGTTTCGTATCTGTGGGGCAGCCATGTTCTGGGCGTGCACTCGCCATAAACCAATCGACAACGGCACTATTGAAACCATTGGGATGCATCCATCAGGCATTGAACAAGCCACGGAGATGCCCCACCCACTACAGGCAAAGACGATAGCTCCTTCCTTCGCGTTGGATGAGGAACTCATACGATCCGATTTAGCAAAGAGTGCCTGATTAGAAGTAAAATTCCAAGCACTGAAGAGCCGAAAGAAATGTGGAATTGTTTCTTACGATTGAATCATTCGATTCCTGTCACTGTGCTCCGGAGAGCCCCGCCCCTGGATCTTAGTACTCTATAGTTAGATTCGATTCAACCTATCGCTGGCAATTCTTAGTGGCCCCGCAGCGTCAAACATACTCCCACCGCGATCCATTTGTAGATATCATGTCGCGGCTAAAGCATAATGGGAACTGAAATACTGTGGTTGGTGTTGTTGGCGTCAATGAGTGACGTACCATCCGTCTCATTCCAAGACTCCATAGTCAGTGGCATGGGGGTTGGCTGGGGCACATTTGTCATGATGGTATACGTCGGTTCGGGTGTTGGCAGCGGTACATTGGAGACGCCGGGCATGATTGTAGTGGGAGAAGGCGTGGTTGCCAACGGTGGATTCGTGACGGGTGATGGGGCGGCTGTACCGTTGTTGTCATGATCAAAAATGTTGTGGTGTGTTGTCTCCAAGGATGTCCCTCCCGTGGGACATGTACATCCGCAATGGCACACAACCGCAGTGCAGTCCACCGTGATGGTGTGCAGAGACGGCAAATCGCACAATTCTGTTGGCACGACAGCTCCAATTTGGAACGAATTGTTGTGTAAATACAGCTCGACCAAGTTGGTGAGCTGGCCTAGTTCGGAAGGGATGAATCCAACCAGAGTATGACCATGTAGATCCAGCACTCGCAGGTCCGTGAGCAATCCGACTTCCGATGGCAGTCGGCCATGCAACCCCGGAAATGTGTCATTGTTGGATATGGGATCGTCATGAATGGCCAAGACCTGCAACGAAGTCATTAGAGACACTTCGGCGGGAAGTATGCCCGTGGCACGGGCATTTCGTATTTCCAACGTAGTTCCCGATGGTGCTCTGAGTCGTCGTCTCCCGGTCGGAGGAGCAGTACTAGTAGGAGCACACGAGTAAAACGGCCACTGACATTCGTCCTCGTCGGACAGCCATCCCTGCCAAGTATGACCAATGGCGTAAAACAAGGTGGCCAAGGCGAATCGATCGAGTTGTTTGGTGGTGACCTCTGCGGACGTAATGTTGAGGGAAATGGTGGAGGAATTGAAATACGGATCATTCTGGATCCACTCGAATGCTTGTGCCTGTGGGGATGAAGATTGTTGAATCATTTGGAGCGTCCAATTGGACAGAAATTGGCTGGCCCACTGCTGATGATGAGCGAGAATAGCATCTTCTGGGGTGGTAGTTATTATTGGACCTGTGGCGGGAGGAGGAGTATTGGGCACTACTGTCGTTGGTGCTGAGGATGGCATAGGAGAGGGCATTCCAGTGGGTCGTTCCCGGCTCAAAGCCAATTCTTTTTCTTTTCTCGATCCCAAGACCCACCAAGTAATCGTTCCCGCCACAACCATGAGGAGCAAACACAGTGCCATGCCTGCCAGCAGGATCAGCTTCTTTGAATTTGGCGGTTTATTGTTGCTGCCAGTGGTTTCCGGAGTTATGATGGGTCCAGATTCAACGTCATCATCACAAAAGGAATCCAGTCCACTGCTGGTACTATTGTGACTGGAACCATCGTTGGACTCTACTCGTAATAAAGGTGGTCTAGGCTGTCCTGGTTCGGGTGACAGAAGATGATTGTCCCTTGGATGAATTCTGGGTTCACTGTCTTCAATGTATATAGATGAGGTTTGAATGGACGAACTGTGACAACTGGATGCCTTGAGTGTCTCGGCATCGGCAAAGGAAAGGTCTGTTTGACTCTCCTCGTTCCCACTAAACGTACTCATGTTGTCCCAGGTCCCCACAATGTTTTCCGAATGATGCGTAATACCGCCCAATTGTTCCTGATGGATACTAGTATCCTCCTGTTTCGTGTCTTCCTTCGGCTCATCTGTATTGGCTCTGGCAAATGATGAAAATCCCAGTGTGTCGTCGTCGACACATTGATCCGAAAAGACATCACGTCGGCTGTTCCGTGGGAGATACGAAGAGTGCTGTTGCCGTAGCAGCCGACTGGACGAATAACTGTAGTCTTGTAGGTGTTGTTTGGACTTTTGCTGTTGTTGTTGTGCTCGATACAAGTCGTAGTGGGACATTCTGGCTGCTACTAGTAGTGATTCCCGCCCAGCTTATAGTAGTAGAGAGACTACTCTCTATTGGGATTGTTTGTGGCTTTACCAATGCAGCTGTCGTCTTGTCCTGTGCCTACATGTATATGTCTTGCTTGTTGGCTCGGGCACATCTCACGTAATACAGAACCGGAATGTCTGCTGCCGTTCCGCGTGCTGACATGCTTCCTGGATCCGGACCCGGATCCCAGGGCTCCTGCTGGTTAGTGAGGACCACAACAGCTTTAATGGCTTCTTTTAGACGTGCTTTCGACGGGTCTGAAGAAGAGCTTCCCTACTAGTGGCCTTGCACATCTTTTTTGTTTGTATCTGTTGCAAAACACCATGGACGGCCATCACGTTAGCCCCTACTTGCTTTTCAGGTTGGGCCGTCGTCGGCACTGGCATGGCGGGGGTATGTTCCACCAGCATATTCCGATCCCAGGAGACAAGATCCACTTGTATCGCCATCGCGAAAACGGCAGAGAAATCCGAAGACCCGCAAGATTTCTGATGCCGATAAGGGAAACGGACTGTTGGGATCATGTCGACACATTGGAACAGGAAAACTATTGTTGTGTAGAGTTTAGCAATGGGGAAACCCTTCTTCATAGGGCGTGTCAAGAGGCGCCTTCCCCGACAGTTTTGGAATACATTGTCGCCACTAACCCCGAAGCACTCAAGCGCCAGGACGAGAATCAATCCCTCCCATTGCACGTTGCATGCGGTAACACTGCATCGATGGAAAACATCCGAATCCTTCTGGAGTCTTATCCTGAGGCGCTGAAGGTACCAGATAAGGACGGGTGTCTTCCTTTGCATGTTGCCTGTGGGAAGGGAACGACTGTGGAAGTCATCCAGTTGCTTCTGGAAAAGTACCCGGAAGCAGCGAAAGTACCAGATACGCAAGTATATCTCCCATTGCACAGGGCCTTCCGAGACTACGATATGATTCGGTACCTAATCTGTCAGTATCCTGGAGCTCTCCGCCACGCTCCGCTCCCGATCCAGTTGGAGATTGACATCGCCCCCGATGCGTCCCTCGAGAACATGATGATGCTCGTGCGTCCGTATCCCCTGGCACTCTTGGAGAACTGGGAGGCAATGGAAGCGAAGCTTCAAGCAAAGGTCGGCTCTGATAGAACTGTTGTTGACAGCATTCATGACTTTGCATTGTTGGCCCAACGAGAATGTGCCCTAAAGGAGGCGCTAGAATGGCTGAACGACAGCTGCAAATCCATGGAAGATCTGCTGCTCAACCAGGCTTCAACGCGGCGAATTCTGCACGAGTGCACAGTACCTCTTGAGCCTTGGCTCCGCTCGCAGTATGGGTCTGTCCACCAAGAATTGCAGGTCTTGTCGACGCAGTTGGATGAAATGGTGGAGGAGGCCTGGGTACTTGACCTGGAGAGGAGCACTGAAGGAATAGACCAGCCGTAGCAACGTCACACTACATTTAATTAATAAAAAGCAAAACAGTAAACGAAGATACCGGCAGCCAATTGTTCGGTAGTGTGATTAGCTAGCTGTTTGGAAGGGGTTAAAGGGATGCGCCACCAAAACGTTTTTGGCAGTGCCCGCTAAAGCCAGATACTCAGTCCTTGGCCATCTCAAGGAGCCATCCTTCTGTGGATTGAGTATTGTCGAGCGTCTCTGTGCTGTTCTGAGATGCACTAAACCACAATCGAGTTTTTGTGCCCGCCATTCCAGGGGTCGAGGATTCACAATTGTTAGCGACACTGGGAGTTTCGGTTTATACTCCGAAGGCTGGTTGTTGTCGTCGTTGTATGCATCATCACCGATTGAGCTCATTGTTTCCGATACCGGTAGCTAGTCCGTCTGCTGCTTCTTTGTCGTCGTTCAAAATGTTTGCGTTGTCATGCATCAGGTCACTGTTTTGGTTTTCTGGTTCACTCGTTTGGTTGAGTTTTTGATTGAGTTTTCCCAGATTCATGTTTGCACTTTGGAATAGAATGGCATACGCCGCAAAGGCAATCGAAATCACTTCGAGGAAAATGGCCCCCATTCCAAGGGGGCCAAACGAGCCATCGAATATCCCAGCCTCCATGCCCTGTGCACGTTGATACAACAGTGTGACATAATGGCCAAACATGTCCAAGACCGTGGCACCGTATCCCAACCCATTTCCACCACCCGCTTGGACACCTCGATTGACAATACTGACCATCAACAAAAGTGCCGCGCCCACGCCACTCAACGTGGATACCATGACTGCCTCGGATGCTTCTGCTTCCAAGAGCATGATATATCCCCGAATCCCCACGAGGATCATGAATCCAACCATGCCCAGGACGAAATGGCTATTGACGGCCGCCCATTCCAAATCGCAATCTCGAACGAGCAGTTCCCACACACTGGTGGCCGGTTCCAGATTTCGTTCGGTCAGTTGATTAATGGCCACAGTGGCCCACATGACAGCCAATAGTTCGGAACAAAAGGATATCAAGGTGACAATAATGTAGAGACGCTTGAGCAGATCAATCTGTTGGACCATGTCGGGATCATCTTGAATGGCCGTGGGAGGCTTGAAGGGAGCCGCCTTGACGCCAATGGAAATCATGCCGGCAGCCAAAATACTCGCCGGGGTCAGCATATTCACAAACAAGGTCGTGGCAGCCGGAACGTAGTTGCCGTAGCTGGCATCGTCGACTGCGAGCAAGGCTACATCCTCTTGGTTGAGGAAATTCCAAAGAGGGGCAACGTCGTAAAGTCTGGTAGCAGATATGCGATGATGATGATGATGCCGATGGTGAGCATGGGGCCAAAAGCCAACAACCACACAATTCCTCAACAGGAGACACAAAAATGCCGTCACTACCGGTACAGAGATCCATTGTCGCGGTAATACTACTGAACCAGCAATGGTCCTACCGGACAACCGAAAGAGCATCCTTCCTCAATCCAACTAACATTTGTCCCTCCAGGAAATTGGCTCATTGGCTCCACCACAAAAAGATCTGCCAGATCGGATAAAAAATTTAGGGTTAAAGATGCCCTGGAAGACTTCCGCGGTTCACACCAAAGCGAACAAGCACAAGTTGCACAACATGCAGCGTACCGGTACATGTACCAGTACTAGCTAGCTATTAAGGGGTTTCGCATACCGGTACTTCAGTTTGTTACTTTAGAACATCGCCTCACCAATGAAGTCAATGGTTCATTGATTGCCATTTAAAAATGTCATGTCTGCGTGGGGTAGACGAGAAAGCGCAGACCTGGCCTGTAGATTGTCCTTAGCTCCAGTCACACTGTTGATTTTAACAGGATCACTTACTGAGACTACAGCTTTGCTTGCGGACAATAAAGTCGACAATTTGCTTTGACAATCTGATCCTCTTGCTGCAGTCGGAGGTGGAGAGTTGGTACATCCGTAGCTAGCCTACTGTAGCGTTCAGCCAGCAATGTACCAGTGGTGGTAGAATACTAGTATGCGGAGGTGCATCGCTGCAGCATGCTGTCTCCGATGTACACTGTCACGTAACGTAAGTATGGCCATACTAGCTATGATAGTACCACTGAAAGCTTGTGCACTGTACCGTGGATCCGATACCCGTACCGGTACGACTGTAGCTGCTACCGTACCATCTCAGCTGTTTCATTTGATACCGGGTGGAATGTTCCTTGGCTTGGGGCTTGGGGGTGATCGAAACATATTACTCTGGAGTATTATTTATTTGAAGCTGCCCTCCAAACCACTGGCACGACCCAAAAGATAGATCAAAGGAGGAAATACCGGTAGATTAACCCTCAAAGTGACTTTGTTCATTGACGCGGCAAAAAAGGCTTAATTAAAGTATAAAATGCATGCCACATTTACAATTATTTACAATCGCTCGACAATCAGTACGGGACTTGCTTCGTGCCTTGCCCCGACTCGAAAAGGGACCCGGAATAAAAGATGTGAGAACCTAGCTATAGCCAGTACGGTACTTATGATGCTACTAGTAGTACTATTGACACGGCGAATCTTTGGAAATGTCCATATGCCGTCCGGAAACAGGCATGGACTTAATTTTGATATGTATGTAAGTGTGAAATTGTAATATATTTCCGGGCCAAAAGTTAAAATCTCTGGTTTTGGTAGGTAAAATTGGTCAAATTAAATAAAATAGTTTCATTTAATGACTTAAAATTGGATCTACAGTGATTCCATTGATTTCCGGACGCTGCAGTGGAAGAAGTCACATAATTTGCTCAAAGCTACTTTCTTACTTCATAATTTCTTGTCTCCTCAAATCCTCATCAAAGAACAACAGCAGATAACATCCATTTACCATGTCGAACTGGAAGCAAGGACCATGCGAATGCTGCAATGACCCTGGGTTGTGTTGTTTTGCCTTTTGCTGCCCTTGTTTCGCTTACAAGGAGATGGCAGACAACACGGGGGACAGCAATGGTTGTTTGTACTGTGTCGCGACCCTCTGTGGCTGCGGCTGCTGTGTGCTCACCATGCAAGGTGATGCCATTGCCCAGAAGCGCGGTATCGACGAGGGAATCCCGTTGGCCGCCCTCAAGGCATGCTTTGACGGTTTCGTCTGCTATTCGTGCACGGTCCTCAACGAAACTCGCGTCATGAAATCAGAAGCCGCTGGTGGTGGTGTCAAGGGCCAGGAAATGCAGCGCTAAATGAGAAGAGTTGGTTTTGTGTCGATTGAATGGATTTGGTGGCGGAGAAGGCGTGTCCAGGAAATGGGGCGCTTTACAGAAAAAGTGGTTGGTTTTGGTGGTTCGGTTCGATGTTCGATGATACAAACTGTGTGCTTCTTCCTGCTTCTGGCTTCCTTTTTAAAGTTTGGTTTTTTATTCTATGGGGTATCCTTGGTTTATCGAATGCCCAGCTCGGTTTGATTTATTTGACGACGGTTTTCTGTGAAGTCCGACTCTGATGCGTGTATTGTGGGGCCGAGCGATGTTGGGATTCAGGAGCCTGTTTGTAATGGGCATGGAACAATAATCTTCCTGAGCACAATCTGTGCCTATAAAATAAATGTCGTTGACGATGAGTTTCCTGGAATGCGCCAGAGATTCTGGCAGTATGCCGTTGTGAAGCGTCTGTTTTGGCTTCGAGCAGTGTGAACGAGTTCGATATCGTGGTTGTAATTTCTTCTGGATAGTAGAGGGAGAAGGGGAGAGCAACCCTCTTTGTTGCGCGGGATTTTAGTAGTGTTCGGTGCCGAAGACGGGAAAGGCTGAAGCCCCAATCTCCACAGAAGGACGTGAGGAACAAGCAAGCGCGAAGGACCCTCGTACGCCTAGTAGCGTACCTTTGCCGTCATACCGGCACCGGAATCCCCTCTTCAGATGAAACCGGCTGCGTCAAAAGCTACTAGCCAGCCAGTAAACTGGATTTAGCACATCCATCGAATCTTCAATCACATTATGCTCCGAACGCGGAGAGGGCCTTCTTTTATCTGTCAGGAACCAAGTTGGCCGCTGAAGAACCAAGACGAATAGCCAGATGATGTGAGGGCCATCAGCGTGGTATGTACCGGTACGGTGGTAGCTCAGCTCGGCAGGTTAAGTTGATTCGATTCGATTCGATTTGAATCTGAATCGAGTCATTAATTAAATCATTCGAATTGACGGAGAGTCGAGTGACGAGTGACTCGACTCAGTCTAATCGAATAGAACTTCATTAACATTCAACAGCGTTTGATGCCACGGCTGGAATGGCCTGAAGCCTCAACATCATCAAGGTGCATTTTAAAAAAATAATTAACAACACATTTTTTACAGTGGATCCAGGCAAATCTTTGGAGCAGCTTTCACAGGACCATCGTGGCAGTTGCCAGTCACCTCCAGAATGTCCAGAGACAACCATCCGCCGGTACACGTGTCGCTTGAATCGAATCGAATCGAATCGAATCGGGTCAACATCAGCGACAAAGAAACGACACATCACCGATGATGAGCTCCAGAAATTGTGGAGTTTGTGGATTTGCTATTCTTGGTCCGCCCAACTGGCGCCAGGAAGCCACATGTACGTACTACCAGTAGGAAGCAGTCGGCTCAGGCGAGGTCCTATCCAAACTCCATGTGTGTCCTCCGTGCATTCGCGAAACACATTTATTTTCGTCGATTTATTTAGTTGTACGTATCAAGATTTCATTCCTATCCACATACGCGGTACGCGAAAGAACCATAAATCCCCAACTCTAACGGAATCGGAATCCCAACCCACCAGATTCTGCCAAAACGCAATCACCGTACGTCAGGAAAACTCGTGAAAATCGCATATGATTGTTCTTTGATAGAATCTCGTGGGTTGATGATGATAGCTAGCTACCAGTAGTAGATAGCCTCTTGCATGTGGATCCACAGCAATCCCATGTGCATCCATTTGTGGCTCCTCTTTCACCACAATTTCCCTTTTTTTGAGTTCTTCCTATCACCGTTACCGAATCGAATTTCACCGCACTCCCACCCGTTGTCGTTGTCGTAGTCATGGCTTCAGATGATAGCGATGGCTCTAGCCTTGATATAGAACGGAGAATGCGGGAGTCTGATGAGCGGCACAAGAGGAAGAGAGAGGAAGAGGAAGCCGAAGTATTGGCTGCAGCCCCAGTCATTCCAGTCGTAGCAGTCGCAGCAGCAGCCTCAATTCCCGCAGCGAATTTCCTTGATGGTGGGCGTCCACGTCTTAGCTTGCGGGATCTACAACAACAGCGCCAGATGGAGATGCAGCAACTCCACCAACAGCGAGCCCTCGCAGTGCCGCTACCACCATTGCCCTATTACGAAGATCCGATTGCCAAGACATGTACATGGGACAACTCAAAGCGCAAGAGTCACGGAAGCGGCCGCCACGGCATCTTGCTGCTAGCTCCCCTTCGCCTTCTGTCCGTTCTAGGTCTGCATCCCCGCGAGCGAAAGGTCATAGGGAAGCGAAAAAGGCCGAACAAAAGAAGAGAAAGAGGACGAGAAAAAGGCTAAGAAGGTGGCCGATGCTAAGCAGGCACAGCGCATCAAAGTTGTGATCGAGAAGTACGACCCCTTGAAAAAACAAATTGTCTGCGGTGAAGAAGAGAATACGAGAGATAAGGAGATATACCGTGTGGCCAAGACGTTGATCTACGACAAAGGGGAACCAAATGAAATGACTTTTGATCTGTCCAAATTCAATAGCGTACAGATCGTGACCTCTCTCTGAAGTGTAAAGTCAGGGGAGGAGGCGGCATGACAATGTACGATGCTAGGAAGGAGATTGCCCGCAGTATTGAGATGGGAACCATGTACCACGACACGACAGTTTCAAACCTTGCGTTGGACCCCTTAGCCAAGAGGATCAACACTCTCGTCAAAGTCCTCAATATCTGCTTCCATCCTACTATTTACCCTTTCTTCGTCTCACTCAACGACAGCAATAATCGAAAGGAATTCGAACGGAGCCTCTTTCAGGAGGTGTGACCGGAAATCCGTTCAAGGACTTTTGGCTTCTCTTTCAGGCACATGAATGAGACGAATGAGACGGTTGCGGAAAGGTTGTTTGACGACGTCTTGGGTCTCCAGAGGGGGAAGACGAACATCTACTTGCGTACAGTGCCGAATTCGGTTTCAACTTGAATGACATTTACCGTGACCAGAACAACAGGTCAGTTCAGCGGCTGATGAGCGACTTGATGAAGTCCAAGGATAATTGTCTTGCGCAAATGAAGATATCGGGCCACCATAGCAATGACATATGGACTTATTGCGTAGTGAAGAGGTGGTGTACTCCTCGGAAGGGAATGGCAGCCATACCTGCCATAGCGGTGTACTATTGTGCCTATCTCTGCAAACTCCATCCCACAATTGAAGGCAAATTTGCCACGTTTCTCGAAGCCAGTTTGAAGAGTGATTCCACCGTCGATATGACAGGAAGCGCTGATGCTGCCGGTAAAGGCGGCAAACAAGTTGCGGCAGACGTCATGGCATCGATCACCAGCGTCAGTTCTGACCTGAAAGAATCCATGGGCAAAAGGAAAGAGAATGCGGAGGATGCGGCGGAAACGAATCAGTGGGACGGCTATTTGGCCGTGGGCAACCAATACCTGAAAATTGTGGAGGAAATAAAGAGCGGTGACTCCTCCAAGGCTCCCCTTGCGAGAGTCATGGAAATTCGACTTGGTCGACTCGAAAAGAAGTTGAACATTCCGGCCGAATCTTCCCTCATTGTCGGAACGGAATATTAATATATAGGAACGGAATAATATATAGGTGTGATTACTGTGTTACGATTCTTCTTCCCTTCTACGTTTTTTGTTGCGCGACGGTCTTTTCAGCTGTAGGCGCTTGACTCTGTTGGCCATGAATTCCCGTAGGTACGACATCCCCTCACAGCTCGAATAAACATTGTCAAGTCGTACAGGATCACCATTCACATCATGCGGAACGCTGGGATGTAGCCAGTGCCGTTCACATTGGTGGCAGGCTCTGTCGTTTGGCCCGCCGTTTCGAGTCCTCATTAATACAAAAGTTTTGTAGGCGACTATAGCCTGCGCCAGCCATATCATGTTCTCAACTGAACAGCCAACAGGACGCGATAGTAAACCCATTTCATCTGCATAAGCCGAAGGCCATCTCCACCCTTATGCGGCACTGGCTGGCGTAAAAGTTGAAATTGTCGTAGAGTGGGATCAGTTTGTCGGAACCCTGGTACACCGGTACCATGTGCTCCGTAGGGATGTATGCCGCATCGCCAATTACGCAAACACCGTTTGGAAGTGACTCCACCAAATTTTGTAAAGCACATTGCGCATAGCATTACGGTCATCCGAAACCCGGGAGCGGCATAGGCAAAGAAGATGAACGAGAATGGTGGTCCGCTACGGCCTGGATGTTTACTCCATAGCACTGATAGTGACCTGAGAAGAAGCTTCGGATGTTGCCAGTTTCCTTCTTGGTTGGTACCCTGATACGCATAAGATAGCCATCGACGACACCAACACAGTTATGTATGGCAGCACCGTCCGATATCCCGGCAAAGCCGTCCATGGCAGTCTTTATTTCCTGTTGAGTACGGGGGAATCGAATCTTCAACTGCGGACACTTGCACAATGCCGTTATTGTCTTCCATAGTACTCGATAGAACGAGCTACGGGAAATTCAGCAATGTCTGTAATATCCAGGTAGGAGCCGCCGGCCCAATATCGAATCGTACAGTAGAGCACAGTTCCGGTATGATGGATCCACCCCTTCGCGTGCTTGAGTCTCGTTAACAAGCAGGTCGTCGACTACAAACGAAAGCAGCTTATCAAAGCTTTCTCTGCGCATCCGAAGTCGTCTAGCAAAGGTCCCACGGTTCTGGTGTTTCTGGCAATACCGATCCAATGCAACCGTTGCTCGAAAAAGGAAGGATTCCTGGATTCGCCCGGTAGACACAGTAGAAGACCAACCATAAGAATAGATAGTTGCAGAAGCAACGCCACATCTTGTTCGTATTCCTCATCATCATTGAAGTCCATTACGGCAGAGTAACTACACGACAACGACGGTGCTAGCAACAACGGTGGTAGAGTTACTGTCTTCTCACTTTTACTATAGCAACCTCCTCATCAATCTCGAGATCTCGAGATCTCTCACTTTTCATTTTCGTGTAGAGTTGGGGATTCGTTGGGTGACTGACGTTTTCGGCAGCTCGGCAGGCTCTAACGTTCTGATTGGTCCTACGCGAAAACCATTTCCACGAAAGCTACGGTACGGCGAATTGAGAATGGAAATCAATGGTTCGCCGTACCGCAGCTTTAGCTACGGTACGGCGAATTGAGAATGGGAATCAATGGTTCGCCGTACCGCAGCTTTCGTGGAAATGGAGTGAAAGCAAGCCGAATTTAACAGTTAAATTGATTTCGCGTACGTACGGAGGAAGAAAGAGGTGCGAATACCTGGTTAGGACCAACTCTCAAGCAAAGGACACCGGAGGTGTAATAGATATACCGGGCGAGCTGACTTAAAAGATGGGCCGGCATAGTAATATTGTTGAAGTTTGGCTGAAGGTAGTGTCATTAGATTTTTCCGTCTGAGAAAGTGGCGTGGTAGCTTACGGGAGTTTAGAGGTGTGCAACATGAGATGTTAGATTTTCCATCTGAGAAAGTGGCAGTGGTAGCTTACTGGACCTTAGAGGTGTGCAATGTGAGACGTTAGATTTTTCCATCTGAGAAAGTGTCGTGGTAGCTTACGGGAGTTTAGAGGTGTGCAACGTGAGACGTTCGATTTTTCCATCTGAGAAGAGGCTGGTAGCTTGATTAGAGGTGTTAACGTGAGCATTAGATTTTTCCATTTTAGAAAGAGGCGTGGTAGCTTACGGGAGTTTGAGGTTGTGCAACGTGAGACGTTAGATTTTTCCGTCGAGAAAGAGGCTGGTAGCTACGGGAGTTTAGAGGTGTGCAACGTGAGACGTTAGTTTTCCTCTGGAAAGTGGCTGGTAGCTTACGGGAGCTTAGAGTGTGCAACGTGAGACGTTAGATTTTTCCTCTGGGAAAGTGGCGTGGTAGCTTACGGGAGTTTAGAGATGTGCAATGTGAGACATTAGATTTTTCCATCTGAGAAAGTGGTGTGGTAGCTTACGGGAGTTTAGAGGTGTGCAAATGTGAGGAAAATATTCAGGATCCATTGCTATAAAAGAGAATGTGTAAGAAATGCGGGGGCCCAAGAGGGGGCTTCGTTTTTAGATAAACTCTAACCCTAAGGATAACCAACCAACCAACCAACCACCACCACAATAAATGTGTTCAGAGATCACCGGGGTCTGCCTGGTATATAAAGAAAGGTACTACTAGTAGTAGTTCGATGGGCGATGTGCTAGTTTGAACGTAATTGGTTGCTTGGAACCGGCGATGATATTTTATGCTTGGCTACTCGGTTATTCGACTCATTCTATATAACCTACAAAGCCTAAGATGTTGTAAGATCTCGTTGGCGCCCCAGTTTCGTCCAGATAATGGAATACGAGTCCACTGCGGGAGACGGCTCCCCACCGTTGCTATCCAGTTCCCGCTGGAAAGACAGTTTCAACTGTTCCTTGGGTTCTTCTGGGAAAAGAGGGCAGCGCAAACAATGCCTGTAGAGATCCAACACATGAGACGGCAAAGCGCGTCTTCGAAGCGGAAAGCAGCGACTAAAGCCCAACCGGCCTTCCCGGGAACAGTACTGACAACCGAGACCTTCCAGCCCCACCGGAAGACCCTTGCGCTTCCCCACTCGTTCCGACGGCAAGAGATGGACAAGTTTTAGTTGCCGTAGTAAATCGTAAAGGAACGGTGTGAGCCGACTCTGGTCATCTGGACCGGCCAACGGCGCCTCTTCTTCGTCGTCGTCCTTTTCTTCCTCTACCCCGCCCGGTCCAACCGTAGTGCCATAAGGCGGCATTTGCGCAGCTCTTTCGATGGACTCTTCGTTTCGTTCAATCCCACTCTTGGCATCGACCATCCCGAGCTTTTTGGCAGCATAGACCCAGTACTGCTTGGAATCAGTGGCCCCTTGAGCATTCTTCTGCTTGAGGGATTGGAAGGCCAATGCCTTGTCAGAAGGCACAGCAGGGCACTTGATGAAATGGTCGCGAACCATCATCGAAAAGGATTGGTAGAGCTTGTCCAAGCTTGAGGGGAAGGCAGAAGACCGACAGACCCTGGATCCCGGAGCGAGATGTGCACAAAATCGGCACCTTACTCCAACCTGATTGGGAAGTATGCTCTTGGAGGTGCTTCGCACCAAGACATCAGACTGACTTGCTTGGATGACTTCCATCAGTTCATCGCGAACAAAACATTGAAACTCGGACAACCAATTTGGGTCTTCGCCAACTCCGAGGGAAACATATTCCCGTTCTGTATGGTGGGGGACGCCTTCTACCACCACTGGATCTCGGGTTCGTCGTCTTCGACGTCTTGGGGGTTGGGAAGGAGGAGAAGAAGAAGCCACAGCTTTTCTCTTGCGGTTGGAAGCAGCACTACCTTTAGAGGAGGATGACGAGGACAGATCAGGGCTGGCAGCTGCAACTCCAAAGGCCCTGACGGCTGCGCTTTCCTCTTGCTCTGCGGGTGACTTGCCCTCTTCATTGGCACTGCTGCCGCGGGTATCCGACAATGACCCGAGCCTCAGCTGAGGCATATCTTCAGGAACACCGGGAGCGGCCAGTGACGGGATACCAGAATCTCTTGCGTTCAGCATAGACTGTCGTTGCAAGGGGAGTGCCAGACTGGTGGCATTCGACGACGACAAGCTGGCGCCACTGGAAGGGCGACTGGGAGGGAGAAGCATTTCACGAAGCCTATCGTCTGCAGTACCTGAGCCTTGAGGGTGAACGCTGGAAGCCATAGAGGACCGTCCTGTCGCCGATCTCATCTGGGACCACCTCAAGAACTCTGCAGCATTCAAGCCAGGAGCTGCGGCTCGAGCACCAGAGAGCAAAACAGCGGAAGCTGCAGTGTTGGAAGTGGCTTGCATGTTGCCTCCAGAGGCCGAGGCTGCCGCTGCTGCTTGGAGCTGCCTTATCCGGTGCTGTTCGTTTGAGAGTACCTGGTGGGGTAAATGGTTAGAAGATGGGAGCAAAGAGCTGGTTACAGCAGCTGATGAACCAGTCAAAAGGCGTTGGATGGTGGCATCCTGTCTTGAAAGTGCCGCCGCTGCAGCATATGGATTCATGTTGTTCAAGGAGTTGGCATTAAGATTGAAATTGAGATGACTAGTTGATCCTCCATGGCCCAGACCGCCCCGTTGTGCAAGCAACTGATGGAGCTGGAGGTTGCGACCAAGGCGAAGGCGTTCAGATGCATGCTGGCTGGCAAATTGGCTGACAAACTGGCCTGCAAGATCCAAGCTTGGCGGGCTCTGAGGTTGCTGCATTTGTCGAAGCGGGTTCAAGAGGTTGTGAAACTCGGATAGCGATGTCCCCGCTTGCTGCTGCTGCGTACCTGCACTAACATTGTTCAACGAATTCACCGACGAGGAAGCAGACCCTGCAGCAGCCAGAGCTCTTTGCAGCTCGTTGTCAGCAGTCTGACGGGCTGTTTCCCGTTGCTGGTCTTCCTTACTTTCACCCCGTGGCTCCCTATCACAGTTACCAGCAGCAAAGTCAGGAGATTGACGCTCAGGTGGACCATCACGAGGAGTCCGTTTCATTATTATCGAGGAGCAAAGCCGAGAAGTTATAGTTCGCTCCTCGGTCGTATCGGCCTTTGGCAATGCTTCGAAGAGAGAGTGCCGCTTCATTTACTAGACCTCTACGTTGTTTTTGTGAAAGCACAAAGCACTCAATTCTCTCCCTCTCCGTTTTGTGTTGAAGTCGACGACCACAGGAACAGGTGGTGTTTGCAGGGTTGCAGTTCTACAACAGTTTACTGTACCGTTCGGTGCTGGTACATGTATGTACCCTCTCAGATGCTACCGTAACCGGCCTTTCAGACTTGGTGTTGGGAGTTTACGGCTACTGTAGCTAGTAGCGCTAAGTTGTATGCCAATGTTCACACTGCAGTTTCTTCTTTTCGATGGTCAGGGCATTCGTGAAATTGACTGCAGCACTGCAACGAAACAGTCTTTCCACAGCTTCATCTTCTGGCTATCGCTAGCTAGAGCTCTATTAGCTAGTAGCAATGTGGATATTACTCGTAGTAGAAACCGACATCCCGAGCTCGTGTGGGTTCCAAGGTGCTACTTGTTAGGAGTAGACCCACAATCTAACATCCTCTAGATCTCGAATTGTGCTGGTACCGGCATAGAATTAACATCGTGCGAAATGGAGGATGGTCCGATTATTGGGAGAAGCCCCTTAACAATTTATTTGAATCTTGCCAAATAGTTGTTTACAGGTTACTTCTCTGGAGCTACGGTCAGGACTCAGGAGAATCTAACACAACCTTTTATTTGGGAACCGCGAACCAAGAATGAGAGAAGAGGACTCCAATCAAGATCTTCATGCAATCAAGCTGCAGTGTACAAGTTCCAGGCAGCTGGCTAATAACAGCATACTACTTTAGGGGGGAAATTATTGGTTTGGGGGGAGTATATAGGGACAGACTGAAGCCATCTTGGAGCAATGGTTTCAACTATCTTGCACTTGATACAGTTCCACTGACAGATCAAGGTGCTTTGTAGCTGAGGATTTGGTGTTTTCAGAGAGACAACACACTATGGTATGGAAAGCCACTTGTTAACTAGCTAGCTTGGTGAAATGCATTTTGACGTCAACAATGGAACTGCAACAAAACAGGACTGAGTAGTTTGACTGATCATGTAGTCAAAACACTGTGAGTAGCCAAACTGCACCCATTGGTGTACAGTTAGCTGGTTAGAAAGATTCCTTCAATCTACAACTACATCTCAACTGATCCAGTAGTCCAAATGATTCGACTATTTGGAACATCAAACTGCACCAAATGCATTTCGTTTTGATTACTTTTGTACATCGTAGTCCAGAAGTATATGTCGTGCTTGTACCAGTAGTGGTGCTCAGATGTCTTTGGTGCACTTTGACTACCAAACTAGTGCAATGCTAATGGTATCATAGGTATTGACTTGGGTACATGTAGGACATGGCAATTGACATGCCTTTCCAATAAGGTACCAGGTACACTAAAAGGGTGCTACGTAGATCCCCCTTGAATAGGCCCCCCACCTCTTAGTGACTTGATTCTAGGTGCTAGCTAGCTAATACTAGAGTACCGTACTCTTCAGCTACTAGCTAGTACACCGAGTACTACATGTACCGGTACTTGCCAGCGCTTTAAAACTTGCCAGTACATACATACGCTAGTGTTTTACTACTGTACTTTGTACGGTAAGTCGCATACGCTGAGGTGATCAACAGTTTGATCGCTTCAAGCAGGAAGCGAACACGTTGTTAAATCAGTACAGATGACTCTCTCTAAAAAATATATTAGGTGTTCGGCCACTGAGAACTGGTCCACGTGTTCTTGGTCTACCAAACAGTCAGAGCACCACAAGCTTTTAATTAAATATTCAAGAAAGAGGAAGCACTCTCTTTAAGTATGCAAACAGGCCCAAAAACAAAAACCGCCCAAGATCAGGATGGTACTTATCTTAAAACTACATCGTACTATTGCCCAAGAGACTGTCACTCGAGCCAGAAAACCAGTTTCTTCGCCTCGTTGTTCGAGTGTTCGAGCTGATGGGAAGAGTACTTCGAGACAAAAAACTGTCCATCGGCCATCACAAAAAAGTCGGATTTGATCCTGCATGTGCAGTCGTACTTGCAACTTGCAACACCTGGTACTACCGGTACCACTGTGTACCGTACATGTACACAATGTATGTCATACATAACAAGACTTAGTATTGGTGGCATCGTGGCTCGTAGATTTCAACGGCGACTGGTACCGGTTGACCCCAGCAAAGAGGCAAGAACTGGATTTATCGATTGACCCATGGATTCTTCAATTCAGGACAATGCAGATGGATCACAGATCACAGCTTGGAGAAGGCGTCGCAACTGTCGGAGACCGATGACAGCTCTGTGATGACATACAGTACTACCAGACAGCCAGACAGCACCTGCTACCTGCAGGTTCTGGGTTGGGAGCTCTCGTCTCTCCTCCGTCGGTGCCGATCTCTATCGTTTTAACAACCTGCATGCATTCTGCATCCCCAGATTGGCGAACTGCCCACTTCAGTAAACAGTTTACATCTTGCCCTGAGGTCCAAGCAAGACCTGCGGCCATCGATGATCAAGCCAAGTGGCTTGCCAGCTATTAATAGTGGCTGGGTCTGCAGGTCAACTTCTGAATGAACGAGTTGCGGCAGCATTGTCCTCCTGACGTCGACAGGAAGCAAGCACAAAGAAGGGGGGTTGATCAACATGGAGTCGAGTCAGCCCAAGCTGGAAAAACTGCCAAAAGAAGAGACCCTCCTTTCTGGGGCAGTCTGAGCTCTGATGTCGCCAAGATTGATGAGATTGATACCATACCGATTGATCATCATTTGGATCCTAGCTAGCTATCTATCAATCTAGTACTACGACAGACGGGTTATTGGGCAGCTGGACTTTCCGCGCATCATGTTGATCATGTTATCTCAGTTGCGTAAAGGCTATTTGTACTGTACTGGTACTAGCTAGTACTATACTGTAGCAAACACAACTGGAAAGGAAATCAAAATCCCCTTGCTACGGGTCTACGGGTCTTCACAACCCAGTCATTGGGAGTACCAGGTATCAAAGGTAGAAAATTAGTCTTAAGGGCATGGATTTTAATCAACGGGTTCACTTGTAAGCAGGGTGAACACAGCATTGGTCTCGCTAGGTTTCTCACACCGTCACGCAAAACCGTGTTCAATGCGGAGCAAACAACCAATCGATGCCGGCACCACAACCACCGACAACGACAACAACACAACAATGGATTCTAACAGTCTAACGCAACGGAGGTATTCACCCAACACGAAAATGTACTACTTCATTACAAGATTCTAGCTAGCATGCTTTTGCTTCTGTCCTAGACAACCAGCACTACGTTGTTTGCTCCTTTGACACAGCGCCCGCACAGTCGATGAAGTTTTGTATTCTGTAAGACATGTATCGTTTCTCCCCACTCAACCCTGGCACGAACCATCTGCTCACGCAGCGGCATAGGCAAACTGCTCCAGTAGGTCCGCCAAGGAGCAGTCACGGCGGACTTTTTGCATCAATTTCATGATTTGTTCCTTGTTCAGGTGCCGATAAATAGAACTGATCAATCGCACGTTGTCGTCATTGTCAAACCGGAACTTTTCAAGCATGTAGCCGAAATTTGGCTCGCGATTGCCGAGGAAGTCAAAAATACTTGTGCGCAGCGAAGCCTTTATCCCATTTTGTCACCGTTGCCCCTCGGAATCCAATCAAAGGACAACCCTTTTCCCCGCCATTCATGAACAAGAGGGTGTAAGCAACTTTTTCGCTGTTGGTGGTGACAAACACGACCCAACGGTGCGTCTCGGCCGCACTGTCCATCGGATGGCCAAAGAATTTGTACAACGGGCTGTCGATCTCGAGATTCTCCACGTTGTGAAATACTGCAACGGGTGTGTGTCTCCCATGGTAGGACGTGAATACGTTCGTGGGGTGCTCCTCCTTGGAATTGGTACCTGGTAGCGAGGCAGGGAAGGTCGTCCTCGCTTTTAAAGGTGTCGACCCCTAGCGCGTCTAATTCTTCCTCCGGATACCGCATTTTGGAGAGCAATCCAAGAGCAGCATTTTGTGTCTTCGAAATGGCATCATCAACAAGATCATCATCAGCCAGGAGCGCATTTGTGACCACTAGACTGAGCGCAGTTGGCTGCGCTGGTTTTCTTTGGTAGTCCAAGCTGCTTCAAATATCCAGAACAGACAGCCGAAGGCTGATGCCCTCAACTGTCAAAAAAGAGATTTGATTCTTTGGCCAAATCCAACACTGTGTTCAACTGAACACACAGTCTACTGTAGTCTATCGATAGCCAACCAAAACACACACATTGGTACTCGGAGTATGTTTTACCAGCTAACAATTAATATTTACCTCATCCTTTATGACGGACGTACAGACTAACTTGCACACATACTCTGGTACTCGGAGTATGTTTTACCTGCTAACAATTATTATTTACCCCATCCTTTATGGCGGACGTACATACTAACTTGCACACACACATAGTTTGGTACTCGGAGTATATTTTACCAACTAACAATTATTATTTACCCCATCCTTTATGCCGGACGTACACACTAACCAGCACACACAGAGACGTACAGACTAACTTGCACATACAGCGATAAAAGTGTGAAAGACCCTCAGTCCGTTGAGGGCAAAAATAGTCCTTTTCCTGTCGTGGAAAGGTGAAGGAGAAAGCCCTCGAGGGAGTGCAAGCAGTCGTGGTGTGACAGAGAGCATGCGTGCTGTAGGTCTTGCCTTCATTACGGTCACCCCAGACGACAAAGAAAGCCCCCTATGATGGAACATTCACTGGTAGTTTTCGTCTTGTAAGAACGGAACACAGCATCAGTTCCACTCCAGGAATGGATATCGCCAAGATCGGATGGGGGCGGGTTTGCTGGAAGGCGCTTGAAGCTGATAGCAGCAACACGCAATTCGCGGATGGCTTTCTTCCTCTTCCCCTTCTTGTTGAATATTGAGCCAATAAAGCGAAGCATACTCTTATAACCTCCTTCGGCAGCTTTCCAAAAGTCTTCGGCGCGGCGGTGCTATCACTCCCGGTTGAGCCCGCTGTTGCCATAGCATGGTGGTGAATAAAACTGGAGTGTTTCCCAAAGGAGAGATGCGTTTGATTAGAAACGAACCGTCTACTTAAGGGTCAGGCAGGGACCCGAAGGTCGGAGGTCTGACCGAGGGCTTAAGGGAGGGCGCAAGCCCGACTGCCCGATGGTCAGGCCGGAGACCAATGGGGCACAGACGTCCTTAAGTAACCGGTTCGTTTCAAATGGATCGATAACGGCTGGTTTTGTATGACTTATGGAATAAGTAACGGCTTGTTTTGTATTTAACGGTCGGTTTCAGTAGAACACGTAGAAATCCTACCGTACCAATACAAAACCTGCCGGTTCGTTCGGAGTGGTGCCGTACTGTACGTGACTGCTACCATACCGGTATGAACAGTACTCGCACCTCGCACGGGAGAGTGAGAGTTGCCAAAAGCTTGTTCAACCTGGGCAGTCTTGCTGCCAGAGCCCTCAACCCCTTTAAAAATTGTGTTTCCTCTGACGGTCCCTGCAGGTATAAGGGTAGGGTTAGACTACAAATAAAGCAGCAAAATTTAAAGTGTCTTTGGGTGCGCCTTTTGAAACAGCTAAAGCTTCACATGTACTCTATGGGTATCTGCTAGCTAGCTAGAGGTATCTGCTTCTAGCTAGCTACCGGCTACTAGCTACTCTGACGAATAAGTTGACAATTTTGAAAAAGGTGATAACTCCTCATCAGCAGCCAGGATTATTGAATCAGTCCGATGGTTTGGGTTAGGGTGATTGTAGAATTCTCAACTTGATCTTGGGACCTGTTCTGTCGGCGGGGACTCTTCCAGAAACCGCGGCAGCGGCGGGCTTTGCAGGTGTCTGAAGAAGCATTCGCAGACAAGGTTGCTCGTTGGATACGAATTCCCCTCTAGATCATCCCAATTTTTTTCCTGATCAGCAGTCATTTTCAAAGACACTTTTTCCTTTTCTTTTCCCCGGCTTTCATGATAAAATTGCTCGGGAACCATTGTTCGAAGTGCATCTTGTTGATTACTCACCTTGATTTGGTGCTTTGACTGTACTAAACAAGAACGAAAGTGAAGATACGCTGTACGGTGTCGTAACAAGAAGACCACATCGGGGCCCATGTGAACGTTAGGATAGCAGAAAGGAGCAACTTGACCCTCAAACTTGGCCTCAATTGACTTCCTCAACCATTCCAACGTTGCATCGATGTCCCCTCCAGTGTCTCCTCCAGTGTCCCATCCAGTGTCAACACAGTACACGCCGTACACTGACTTCCTTGAAACACCATAGGGCTCAAAAGCCGAAGCGCCAACTTTATCCAAATGTTTCCGTAAGAAGTTGCGTAGTCTGTCCTTTTCCATCAGCAAACCAGGCAACAGCAATTTCTCAAATGCCGTTCCTACGCCACCGCTTTCCTCCTTGATCAAGTTTTCTCGGAGGAAGTCATCCATGTCAAAAACAATTATCCCCGATTGAATGACAATAGGTTCGTCAATATGCCCTTTTATCACGACCCCCTGTCTTTCGGTTTCGCACACGGCAGCCACGTCATTTTTTATCAACAATTTTGCATCAGCGTCGGTGAATGGGTGCGGGTTCTGGCCAACGGCAAAACGGCACACCGTATACTGTAGGTCTTCTTGTACCTTCCCGAGGAACCTTCGCTGATCCTCTCCTGTTGTGTCGGCAATTTTCCTACGCACTCTTTCAAAGCAAGGATACGCCGAAGATCCGCCGGCACTCCACGTTTCTCGTCAGTTCGTGTTCGATTCCTCCTTGCGCGCCATGATGTTCAAGTAACGATCCAAGGCTTCAATTATTTTCGCAGCGTTGCCCTCGAAGTGGCCTTGAGTTCTCCACACCTGATTCACGCTAACTTTCTCCTTTTGGCTGGAATAGACTTCCAAAAAGCTAGCAGTCAATTTGGGCCACCCGCAAAGCCAGTTTGCCACATATTTTACTACATCGTCGCGTATGTCGGATAGATCAAGAATTCGGCCCAGGTACTGTTCAACATATTCGACACCCAGCAACTTGAAATCGGCGAAGAAAACATCAGGTTCATCCCCTAATGCTTTTCCCACAATGGACAGCGTCTGTTCGGAAAATTGGTCAAAAGACAAACCTGTACCACAGAATACTGGATAGTGCAGATAGTCCCATATCTTTGCCAGATCCCCAAATCCCCCAATAAGTGCAGAAAAAGCAGACCGACTCTTTTCGCCATTCTTGCTCAGAAAATGCGCTGTATTCAGATTCAAGAGTGCTTATGCTTCGTCGACAAAGACGGACCACGTTACGTTCGTTTCGGCCCAATACTTCCCTCGACGGTGGCGGGAAACACATCCTTGCCAAGGAAAAGTTCCGGAAATATCTGATAGAGTAACCACTCGTAAGGATTCATTCCCCTCTTCAAGCGCTCTTTGAAGCGCGCTTCAAGCTTCTCGTGGACAACATACCTGATAAAGAGGAGCATCGAAACCCGGTTATGGATTCTGATCCTGTTCTGCTCACTGATTCGAGTGTCGTTGCCCGCCATTTGCAGGTTGCAATCCAGAGAGTTCACGAGATCGTTTGAACCTGGATTCCTCATAAAGTCGTCCGCAAATCCTTTGTTTTTGCTGAGATACTCAAAGACAGTTTGCATCTTTCCTGCGCCCGAGGTTCCGTAAAGAAATGATGGTACGTGTTTTTGTGCTGTGCAAATGTGATTCTCGGCAAGGGGTTGAGAAAACTCAGCATTTTCGTTGTCCAGACCATTTAGAAGGAGGTTTGGGCGCGACTTGGATGTAAAGCCGCCCTGCTGTGAGAGAGATTGACGCGCAGGGACAGTCAACCCAGGGTTCCACAGCGAACCGAACAAGCTCTCCTTCGCAGGCTGAAACGTATGCATCGTCGGCGGTATGGTGCAATACACGGCTCTTAGCCTTATTCGCGACTCGATCCTAGATAGGGTTTGAGTTCGACTCATGACTGAGTCTCTCGTGAATAGTCATTTGAGGTTCTCAATGACCGCTCTGTCATACTAGGTTGATGATGAAACATCGCTCTAGATATTTAGCCAGCGTGGAGTACTTCCACGCTACTAGATCCATGCTAGACAAACCTTCCACGCGTTCGTTTTAGGATCGTGGAGATACGTAGGATCGCTACCGCAACCTACTCTATAACACTTTACAGTCTCCCGCGGAGCAATCTACGATCCCTTGATGATGATCTCTCTCGTTGATTAGTTTTCATAGCTTCTAATCTCTCTCATAACTTTCATTCTCTCAAACTCAAAACACTCGAAAGATCTTTACACTAGCTTTTGCGTGTGCATTTTGTTAACAAACACAATAGCTTTCAGCTACCCTAAACCAGGGTCATGTCGAG